AAAATAATAATATTGCAACACAATGATTAAAAAGCAATAATAAACAATGCTACAAAGTAAAATAAATACTACAGAGTACAAAAGAGAAGCAAAATTAAAGGGAAACAAAATGTTTAATTACTTATAACATCAACTTTAGACAGGTTGGTGCCATGAGTAATGCAACAACAGCCATGTTTCTGAGCTACTGAATACATAATTTACTTAGCACACCAGAAGAAATTTTTAACACATTATTAATTTAAATAAATAATTAAGTAACTTAAATGAAATTAGATTATTCACTAAACACCTAACCCTTATATGGCTATGGACATGAGGTAAATCAAAATGTCAAAGAATATGTCTAAAGTCCATGCATAAAAATAATTTGAAGAAACTGTCTAAAGGACTATTAAAAATAAAAATAATTTGAAGAAACTGACTAAAGAACATTTTAAAGACTTGTAAAACAGACAGCTGGAAGGGAAAAACTGAAAACTAGGTTATGTTAATATTTTGTAAAGTCTCAAATAGTAAAAATTATAACAAGATTGAAATCTTGAAAGTTTGGCTTATGGCTTAGAATCTATAAAAACCAACAAAACAAACAGTTGGAAAAAAAACCTGAAAACTGGGCTATGTTAATAATTTTGTAGTCATTAATCTCTTGTAGTTAAGGTTATAACAAGCTTGAAATCAAAGCAAAATAGCAACCTTAATTTGGCATAGATTATGAATAAATCCCTATCATAAGGGCGATCTTCCCTCTTCTTCCAGGGCAAAAAATTCTGCTCCTGAATAAAATCAATAGAGTTTCATTTAAAATCTATACACAAATAAAGTTACTGTGTTGCCCAATTTTAAATTTTACATTGCCATGTTTCTCTTCCAATTTGGTTCAAATTTGATTAACTTACAAAGCTTACTTATATAATGGGAAAAAAATAATAATTGTAAAAATAATGCACAAATTTAGACGAAAAAACAAATATACGGACTTCTTGGAACTACCTAAATAAAAAAGGCAAGAAATTTACCTCGATCAAAGCTACGTCCAATACGGGATTTCTATTTTAAAAAGATTTAATTCACTGGTGAGCTTTTCAGTGAGCAAGGCATGGCAGCTGTAGTTAATTTAGATGCTAAACAAAAATAAGAAGAAAGAAAAAGAAGCAGGCACAGAAATAAGAAATATTACAGTGAATAGAAATCAGCTAAGACAGTCCATAAATTAGTAACAGAAGAATTTTTTAAACAATCCTTTCAAAAGATTTATTATTAAAGTCTAAAAATGCTGTTGAAATAATAATATTCAAGTCAACTGCAATAAAATATCAAGTTTATAGCTCTGATTAAGGTTTAAATGGAACCCTATCATGAATAACAATTCATAAGTTAATCGTGATAATTTGACAGCTGTAATTTTGTGAATTATTGCAATTCATAAGACATTTTGTTATTTTGGGGGATAGTATTTAACAGTTTAAGATATTTGAGATATTCTTGAGTGTTAATAAAAATCTTTCTGATCCTAACTGTTTGATTAATTATTCAGTTGGCAATTATTTTCTTGGAAATGCTGGAGTGCCAATTAATTTAGCTTGATGGTTTTTAAATTTAAAAGTCTCCTTTTGTCAAAAATCTTGATTTGATTTTTGATGTTTAAATATCTGACGTCTGTAGCATTATCATGGTTTTATTCAGCTTATGACATTTAAGATAATCTGTTATTTTACAATACCATTAAAATTATATTCAATAATGTCATCTATAAATCTCAGCATTCATTTAAAAACACAGGAAAACTAAATTTCTCAATGAAGTTATATTCTTTAATAAAAAGGTAAAGAGATAAAAATAACATAAAACAATAGCTTAGTTAAAACCCATTGGAATACCATTACATTGCTGGTAGATTTTACCTTGAATTAAATTTTCAAAAAGTATGCAAGTGAGAATATTAATATTTCAAATTATGTTAATAACCTTCACTGTCACTGAAAAGTGTCTAAATGTAGATCATAATAGGGGGAAAAAAGAGAGAAAGAGAGGTACACATATATGGCATCAGAAAGGTTTATTAACAGTGAATAATTTTTAAGCTAGATGGTACTATGCATATAGAATGTTTGGTTATGTTTCGATTAGTGGGGAAAAAATTACGATCTGCAATGACAGGAATTACTCATCTCAAATAAATGCTTTATCATTGTGTGTACGAATCAAATTTCATACATGGCTCACTTATTCACAGATACTGTGTATTACTACTATTAAGAACCCATTCTGAGAAGATTTGAAAAGAATTTAACATTTCTTGTCCCCAAGAACGTGAGGCGTGAAGTAAGAAACAATAAGCTTTCATTTTGAGGGTAAGTGAGAATTATTATTATTTTTTCTACTACTATGGAACTTAAATTAGTATCTCTTAAAGAGATAAGAACAGCAATACATTCTTTAAAACTAAACTGTATTAAAAAAAATCGAAAATACTACATAAGATCCATTATCAGCTTCCGAATAGTTAGATGAACAATTACTAGTTTGAAACTTCAGTGGATTTTCAAGATACGATAAAATATGGAAGTACAGAACTTTTTAACAATTTAAAGAGCTTTCAGGAAATTCAGACTATGTTATGATTTCGAATCCTAATGAGGTAAATGAATGAATCGCTATCTGTGCAAGAAATATCGGTAATTTGCCAAAACTTATAATAAACACATTTTTTGGCGATATAAGCCTGTGACTTGATTTTTGGAGTCAGTTTAAAAGTTTCATTCATGAAAATGAAAGTTTATCTGACGTTGAAAAATTTTCATACCTGAAAAGTTTGTTATGGAAATTGCACTGAATACAATTAAAGGATTTGCTCTAATGAGGGAAAATTATAATAAAAGCATCACTTTGCTAAAAAAGCTTTCTTGAAGAAATAGCATCATAATTCAAAGTCACATGATGAAATTACTAAGCCTAGATCCAGTGAAGAGTATGTGTGATATCATAGCTCCTTGGAAATTATACGATGACACAGAAATTAACATTCAATCCCTCGAAACTTTAAATATAGTTATGGGAAGCTGCAGTCATTTTTGGATCCTATTTTAATTAAATTAATTCTGAATAGCTTTAGATACAACAACAATGAGATAGCTTTAGAATACAACAGAAAAAGGAAATCAAAAACAGAGTTTGATGTTCTACAATTAGTTAAATTCTTAAAAATTGAAATGGAATATCACAAAGCTTCTGGCTTATCTGAAGCAACACAATTAACTAACAGCTGCATTTTCAACCAATGTAAAATTTAACTACATAATCTGTGATGCGAACAAAGTCTTCCCCCCCTCAACAGGAAAAAGAAACAAGCTAAAGGTCGAAGATTGTTATTTTAAATGCTGCAAAAAACCATTTGAGTATTAACTGTAAATGAAAATTAAATCCATATAGAAAACATAATTCCAATAATCATCACGAAAACATCTCCTCCCCCCCCCAAAAAAAAAATTACAAACCAAAAGTTCACCCAATGAAAGTGTTGATACACAAGAAACTGACAATAAATCCCAAACAAAACTGCATCACACTGCAAGCAAGTAAAAGACAAAAATTCAATTTGTCCGTATCACATTGTAAGCCAGTAAGATTCAAATTCAGTTTTACTTCAAACATGCCTCATGAGAACTGTAACAATTTACACATAAAAAAATCATCAGGATTTTATTTGATAATGCTTCAATGAGTTTCTTTATGATTTAGCGTACGAGCTAAAACTTCCAATTATAAGAAAACAAAATTCAATAATTTTTACATTTGGAAATCACAATCCAGAGGAATAATTATTTGGAGTAACAAGAATCCAATTACAAACATGTAATGATCCTAAGAAAAGAATAGAATGTGAAATACTAACAACCACAGAGAAAATTACAAATGCATATGCTTGTGACCTGGACAGATCAATACAGAAAATGTTAAAATGCCACTGTGATGAATACGACTTATATTTTGCTGACAGCACAAAATCACTTAATAGGCATGGAATACTATTGAGAAATAAATTTGGGTGGATTCGAAAAAATATGCAATAATTTAACTGCTGTGAAGACTTTTTTTGCTATATGTATTCAAAGTCAAACATCTAATGTTCACCATAGTGAAAAGCTGGGTAATAGTTGTATGGCAATGGCTCCAACAGCCTTACGGCATGGCTATGAAAATACACAACAGAGTACTGATGACGGATTCACTGACTGTCAAATATATAAAGAATTAAAGATGTTTTGGAAAATCGATAAATTGGGTATTAAATCACATTACAACATAATTTATTAAATTCCTCTGATGTTATGAAACAATTTGAAATAGAAATAAAATTTAATGGTAAAAGATATGAAGTTAGATTACCATAACCATTTAAAAGGTAATAAAAAGTAGACAACAATTTTAATATAGCAAAGAGAAGATTACTCAATTTTAAGAACAGGTTTAAGAGTAACTTATCTCTTTACAAAGAATATAAAGATTATATGATTATAAACGAACAGTTAGTTAAAAATATCATAAAGGAAATAAATCCTGAAACAGAAATATTTTTTAAAAAATGCATTATATGCCTCATCTTCCTGTCATTAAGAAAGAAGGTGAAACTAGAAAATTAAGAACAGTTTATGATGTTTCGTCCAAAGAGCTAAACAGCTTGAGCTTGTCTTTGAATGATAATCTATCAAAGGGACAACATTTGTATCCTAACATTTTGGGACTACTTCAAAAATTCAGAAAAAATAAAAGTTGCCTTTATAGCTGACATCGAAAAGAGTTTCTTACAAATTTCTCTAGTGAAACTGATCTAAAATATCAGAAATTTCAATGGTTTGACGAGTTGACATTAGGAGTGACTTCTAGCCCTCCCCTCTTAGAAGTGACTATAAAATGCCACATAAATAAATACAAGGATTCAAATAAAGAAACATATAGGATCTTGAATGAATGCTTATATGTAGATAATTTGTTGGAAAGAGCATATTCTGTATTTGAAGCTCGAAAATGGTCTATGGTTGCAAAATTCATCCTATCAGAGGCTGAATCTGAGAAAATGGCAAACTGATTCAGAGGAGCTTTTGAAAATCTAGAATAATACAGGATTTGAAAATCATTCAATTTCTAAAAATTATATAGTACCAGTGCTGGGTACCAAAACAAATGAATTTAGTTTCAATATTTCCTCTATTTTGCAATTATCAGAAGATAGACAGAACACGAAAAGAAGCATTTTGAAATTTATGACCCTATGGGATTAATTACACCATTTGTAATTAGATGAAGATTTTATTTCAAGAATAATGGAAGAGAGGTGTAAAATGGGAAATAGTTTGAATAGGTATATGTAAAAATACATATATGTATACGTAATACATTTATGTATACGTAAAATCAGATAAAAAGCTAGGTGAGGATTTGAAAGCTAAATGAGGAAACTGGCATAGGGACATTCCTAAATTGGAAACTTTATCAATACCTAGAATGTTATTTCAAAACAGACCTCGCTGAATTCCAATTACATATTTTTGATGATGCTAGTGAACTAGCATACAGAGCTATTGCATATGCCTGCTGCAAAACATCATATGAAAATTTTGAAGTTAGCTTTGTAACATTTAAATAATGGTAGCAATAGTAAAGAAGCTAACTTTGCAAAGGTTAGAGTTGACAGCAACAAGAATACTCAACTTCTTAAAACCCATTTTTCACATGATGGATAATTACTTCTTGTGGACTGATTTCAAATTTGCAATGATTATATATTTATTAGATTTATGTAATAATTAAAAAATATTCAAGTGATACTAGAACGTACAAAAACCTGAGTTATGGTAGACTTAGTTCATCCCCAGGATGTAAGGAATTTTTTAAGATAGATGGTGCTATGTGGAGAAAATGTTATGTTTTGTTTAGATAAGAAGTTACCTCTCTATAATGATAGGAATAATACGTGTTCATCTGAAATAAATGTTTTATTATTGTGCATGTGAATGAAGCTTCATATAAAGCTCACTTATTTACATATTCCTGTGTTTGGCGCATTTTAATCATCTTTGGTTTTGTGCCAATAAACTCTCACTCACTCACTCACTCACCTTATTTACACATAGTGCGGATTACTACTATTAAGACAAAACCCACTCTGAAAAGATTTGAAAAGTGCAACCACAGTGCAAATGTTAATATCATTAATAAGTACCACACTGTTTTTAATACATGCTTTGCTATAAAAAATGTTACTGGTCTAATTTGAAACACAGATTAAAAATCTCAAGCTATTTGGAATGGAAAAAACTTGCAGAATTGCAAATAACAAGGTTTCGGTTGTTTTATTGTTCCCTTCCCCCCAAAAAAAATTTGTGTTAAGAGTGTAATGAAATAACTTATAGTAAAATCCTAAATAATCATTTGTTTTTAATAAAAGCATTTTTATAAGCAGTCATTATATATGTCTGTAATATTTTAACATGAAATAGTATATCAAAATACACATAAAATAAAAACAGCTACATACTTTAAAGCATGCAAGCCAGTATCCACAACAAGGCGACAAGCACGCAGCATTTCATGTGACAGGTGACCAAAACTGAAATTCCATGAATAAATTATTTTTTATCATTAGATGAGTATAGCAAAAAATTGGACAATAGGCACAACAATATGTAAATTAAATAACAAATATAAGATATAAATATTTGGGTAAAATCATACTGAATCATAAAAATTTATGTTATTGTATGCATCATATATAAACATGAAAAAATTCTATACTATATATATAAATTGCTGTCCAATGTTAAACTGACAAAATATCAAGACTTTCTCAAAAATATGAAAATAAATCAAAAAACTTTTAGAGAAAATGAAAATCTGAAACATTCATTTTAAATATATGAATCAAAACATTCTAGTGATATTACCGAAGTATGCAAATTATGATATATCCCACTTAACTTGTAGTGATCAGCATAAGACTGATCTAAATAAGATAATACACTGGAACCTGCATAAAGAATATTGCTCATGGCTACAGACAATTTTTGCCTTTGGAGATGCAAATTATGATATATCTCACCTAACTTGTAGTGATCAGCATAAGACTGATCTAAACAAGATAATACACTGGAACCTGCATAAAGAATATTGCTCATGGTTACAGACAATTTTTGCCTTTGGAGATGGTCAGCTTAAAGGTGATATTTATCATCCTGTTTACTTATATTTCGCATATAATATCATATAATAACACCTCAAGAGGTATCAACATAAGTAGAATTCTAATATGACTTCCAATGCAATTCTGGACCTCTGTTTAGATACCCCTCTGTTGGGTAAACAGCAATCAAAAGACAGGAAGTAGAGCAATCTGAAGCTGAATGCTGCTGTGGAAGTTGTTATCACTCTTTGGAAATGGTTCCAAGAAATTGGTACAACTAGAAGGCCACCCAAGAATATATAAAGATGATTTAATATATAAAGATAATATATAAAGATGATTTCAGTTAGCTAGAAGTACTTTCCACAAGCAAGAGGGGTTTTAAAATCCTTCCTTTGCCATAAAGATATTTACTACTGATAAAATGCTATAGATTTACGATGGAATCAGTGTATCACTGATATCTAGCAGATGTTCTGAATGTTTCAAAACAAACAGCAAATGATATCTTAGCTGTATTAGGTGTTAGTCCTCAGTTCCTTTTTATGGATTGATATTCATGTACATATAGCTAGGTTGATCAATAAATACATTAAAAAGTGAAAACTCCCATGATAAGCAGGTCAGCCAGATGACTTCCACAAATGCTCTGGAAAAGAAGCTAAACACACTAATTCTTCTTCCGGAAACGCCCAAGAATTAAGAAATATCATGACATGGAAATGGAATTTATTTCCTGATAATCCCTTCAAGATCTATGTAAAATAGTGTGAGGGCTTATCATGATACCTAAATAGCAATGAAAATAATCACATTATCTGCAGCTTTCCTGAATCAAGAACTGCTATCAGATAAATGCTACTTCCTCATTCACTTCAGGATTTCCATGATTTCAGAAGCACAATACATGATCAAGAAAAAATAATTATGTTTATCATTTTGCATTCATCACAAACAAAGTACATATTTTTGACATATTTTTATGCAATTCTCATTTTTTTTAAGTAACTTAATTCTGCCCACTAGTTTAAATAAACACATACAAAAACAAACGTATATATATATATCTTCCTGCACACAAAGTTTTCGGTAGAATAAAACTTTCATATTCTAAATAAAAAAATAAATAACATAAAAAGAATCCCAGTCATTTTTGATAAAGCGTACATACTGCATCAAACACACTGTCCACTTTTGCCAAACAAGTAAGCTCAAATTTTTTTGAAAAAATACCAAGCTTCTAAATGTTCGTCAAGAGGCTTCATATCCACTTTAAAAAAAAATAGAAATGGGTTAAAAATCATTGAATTATGTGAGAAATTCGATTATGATTAATTTTGAGAATCAAATATGAAGTTTTGAGAACTTCAGTTTCTTCCCCCCCCCCCAATTACATGTTAATGGGTGGGATTTATAATGCACTGCCCAACCACTGTCATTTGTGGTTTGTGGTTGATCCAGAAAAATCACATTAAAAAGCTGATGCTCCATGCACTTTTTTGTTTCTTGACTACTCTACCATCTCATCTTTACTCAATATTTTAGAAAATGAGGATTCCTAACTAAAATTACCCAAGGTTCACTGGAAAATGCTCCAAGCTTTCAGTATCACACATTAGAATTCAGAAGTAATACAGGGTGGCACAGGGAAACGGGAAATTTTGAATGTTACAGTTGGCAGCACTGTAGAGCCGGCAGTTGTTCAAAACTTTGCACAATTGTTGTAAGCGCATTGCCATTTAGTAATCGGGATCATTGGACGGGCGGAACGTGCAGTAGCTGTGAGAGGTTTAAAAGGATAGGCGATGCCACAGAATTTCGACCAGTCAGTGGATGTTCAGGAGTGTATATTGCGATGCATACAGCGTGGGTGGTTTTGAAGAAGAGAGCTCCTTTAAAAAAAAACATTCAGGGGTCTTCCAATGGTTCACATTTTTTACAAAGAGACTTACGAGCTTAAGCAACAATCGAACATGGGGTTTCTTCAGCCGACGGGAATCCCACAATGCCGACAATCGATGCAGCAGTCGCAATTTTGGAAGACGCATTATTTCACGTAACGGGGAACTGAATGGCATGCGGAATCCCCTGATCTCGTGTATTTGCATTTTATGCCTTATTATTTTGCACTTTTAGTCCGAATATTATGCTTTATCTTTTCTGTCCTAAAATCCGCAAAATCCTAAAATCCACACAACCTCTCGTCCCAAGCTTTGTGGATTTTGGGACTTTTACTGTAATACATAATTTAGCAGAACTTGAATAAAACTTTCATTCTTAAAAGGATATAGACTCAGGTCACAGATATAAACTACCAGACAAAATACATGGCCAAGCAATAATACACATTATTCTTAATTTTACTACTTATTTTGCTGCAGTAATACACAACATGACACAAAATATATACAATTTTTCACATCACAAAAGATTATACTAAAATAGGTACATTAAATGATACTGGATGGCCCTCCCCCTACATTACAGCCTCATGCAAGACCAATCTGATCCAGAACTATCTTTGATCATTTGCCTATATGAAAAGCAAGACACAGCTTTACAATTCCCTGCACTCGGCTGGATCCCAAAAGATATAGGTGATACTTGATCAAATGATAATTTATATCAATTAACCAGAACCAAATGTGTGCAAATTGCAGCATATGTGCAAGGTCAATTACTAATGAGGTCTATGTCCATCAGCCCCTCCCCCCCCACACACACAATCAAGAATTCTTCCCAATAATTCGGTGAGATTTCCCATGATGGTGTAAGTAATTTATATCACACATTCAAGTAAATTTAGGTATTATTCAACATATTACTGTTAATGCATTTTCTCTTTTTCATAATTTTTTTTCTAACTTAATTTATTCTAAGAATATAATATTTAACACATATAACATAAAAAATACCACTGACTGTTTATATCTGGTTGTAACAAAAGTTTTCTGCCAAAAGACATTCTTAATAAAGTTAGGAAAAAACATGAAAGCAGTACCGTTAGTAGTAATCACCATCCAAATCTATGATTTTCTGTCAATATTTTGGTAGTTTTTCAAAGCCTTTGGCCCAGGAATTTGATGGCCATGAATCTTAAAACAGATCAACCTCATCTCAGATGTCATGTGCAGAATGGAAGATAGCATCAGCAAGATGCAGCTGCAGGTGTGAAAAAAGGTAAAAGTCCAAAGGAGCAATGACAAATGTGGCATTATCTTGATGGAACATTACTTTTTATACCACAACTGAGTTCGATGTTTTTCCTTAATAGCAGCTCAATATGGACTAGCCTTTTGTTGTACACCTTATTGCCGATGGTTTTACCTTTTTCCAAATACTCTTTGTGGACAACACCACAGCAGTCCCACCAGGTACAAAGTGGGATTCTTTTTGTTAGTCAAACTACACTTTGCTACTGATGGTTTTTAAGTGCAGATCAACTCCCCTTTTCGGCCTGTATCGTTGAAGTAAATTCACTTTTCATCACAAGTGGTGATCTAGTCCAGAGTGCAGGTCCAAACACGTTTGTTTCTAATCAGCTTGAGTCAGCTCATGCGGCACCCAGCGATTGACCTTTAAGTCAAGTTTATGCGATGAATAGTGCGACTAATGGATATGGCACTAACGTTTAACTCCTCAGCAAGCTCTCGAGGGGTTGCATACTGATCTTCTTCCACAAGTTCTCACAAGTGGGCTTCATCAACATAAGTAGGTTGGCCAAAGTGCTCTGCTCCTGGAATGTCATAGTCCTTGCTTTTTGAACTTTCTGTAACAAACCTTCACAGTGTCATATGATACAACATTAGTACCTAAAGCTATAAAAATGATTTGGTGACATTCTGTAACTGACTTTTTGCAACAGAACTGGAAGTAAATAATGGTTCTAATATCGTAGCATGGATAGTTCCATTTCAGGCACCTTGTGCTTAATGATAACGATATTTTTTTTCAAATTTCACAACACATTGTCCTAAAACAAGTCTCTTTCTTTCAAATGCAAACAATCGTTTGACAAAATACGATTAAACACACTAACATGAACTGTTTGAGTGGACGATATTTGCGGTGGCAAGAAACTTTCATTAAAACCCAATATTAATAGTAAAGATTTTTGTCAGCAGCAAACTGTTAGTGGTTTAAATATTCAAGAAATTAAAACTGACACATGATTATCAAAAGCAAAAGCCACCTAACACTTGCATTGATTAATAGTAAGAGGTGGGAACATTCAACCAATCTGCTGCACTTTGGAGGAATCAAATGTTTTAAGTTTTATGAACCTGCAGTCAAAGTTGAACTGCAATATTTACGTATGCAACTCACTGCTACTTCGTTAGAAGTTTTATTATTTAGCTAGGCGGCAAACTTGTTCTTTAAATTTTCGAATCCCATGAAGGTTTTCAATTCATTTTTGCTAAGTTCCATTTTGAACTAGCTACTAGTGACAGATTTAGGTCTAATTTAACTGATATTATGATTAATAGGCAAAATTACACTCATGGACCCATTTATAGCTATCATCATTCAGCTTTAACCAAGATTTGTTAAAAATTAATTTATGCTACAAGTACAAATATATGCTGAAAATAAAGTTCTTTCCTTTAATCAGAAAAACAGTTTTACAACTAAATGTTATAAATACAATAAATATTTTTAAAAAAGAAATAAAAATTATAAATAAAACTGCTTACTGAAAATATGAATCTTCATACAATCCTAATTCATAACCTAAATATTCACAATACAGACCCCAACCCTTGAAAGGAAACAAAATTTTGAAAAATCATTTAGAAAGAAATGTAATAAAACATTAATTTATTATTTAAATGATAAAATATGCTAGGTTTCATACATATTTCTACACATGGAAATTAAGTACTTTCAAGAAAAAAAAAATTAAGGACCATTAATGAAAAAAATTAAGGACCTATCAGCAAAGGAAATGAATAAATTGAAGCAATTATCTATACCTGAACTTCACTTTTGTAACACCATTCTAAGAATAAAATATATTTGTAAGTAGGATGCACTATTATATAACATAATTATAAAACAAATTCAAGGATCAATGCTGTAAAATTTATCAGTTAATTTAATTCACATTAAATTACTAAATTCCTCCAAAATTTACATTTATATCATTTATATTTTACACATATAACAGTTCCACATATTTTAAAGAAGATTAGTGACAATTTAGTTTTATGTTAATTTCATGCCTTGTTTCCTCACATAGTCATTCGGTCCGGAGGTTTATGAAAATTTCATGTCAAGAGGCATAGGTTAAAATGAGAAGTTAAATTATAACTAGCATGATTTGTAACAGAAGCCTGGCTGTCGCCACGCTGTTGCTAGTTAAGAGAGTGAAAGACACTGATCAGAACAGATATAAGTGCCTGATATTGGCAAGACTGTTTGTATTGAAAGTTGCGCTTTGTCTGTCTAATCCAGCGGGTATCGTAGTTTCACGTAGAGTTATATACAATTATATATAGTTGCTAGAGTTATAATTCAGTCAATATACAGTATTTAATATAAAGTTTCAATAAGCTGCTTAAGCACCAGAGGTGATAAATTGTTTTACATTATTTTAAGTACCATTAGCAGTAAGGAATAAAGTTTTATGTTATTTTTTACACTTTTGTGTAGTATCTTACGTCCACAGTAAAGATTAAAAAAAGTGACAACTCACATTAGCATGTAGAGATAATTTCTAAGATTGAGCAATTAGTTACAAATACTTATACACATAAAAAGATACCCCGAGTCTCTATAGATTTACATGGTCATTATCATTTTTTTTTTATTTCTAAAAAATATATGTTAAGAAAATATTCACATTATAATCTAAGAACATTTTACAGATTATGATATTGTAACAGACCTATTTAAGTGTAATTGAACTATTTTATTTACGCCTATTTTATTTAAACGCCATTTGTGGTGATATGAAAAAAACGTCAGTCGACCTCCAGCCGCCATGATGATAATTACTAGGTTAGTTATTCTCAATGTTTGATTTCGTTTTTATGTTTTTATATATATTTTTTTTGTTTTAACCGTTCTGTGGCTCTGTTAATAAATCCTTTTAAAGCTAGCCGGCATTAGTGTCTATGAGGACGGGCTACATCACATTGGAACCAATAAATTTGAATCCAAATGGCGCAACAAAATGTTTGAATTTTGTTGGTAAAAAAGCTTACTCTTGATTTACTTTAGTGCTGAGATCGCTCAGTTCTTTTCAGGTGGACTACGGTCAATATTCTGGAAACAATTAGGAATTAAAATGTATACCGTGCTGCTAGACATCGAATCATCAACTGGACAATTTCAACGGAAAGATAAGTTCGTTTAATATTTTAATCTGGTTAAAGTTCTTTTTAACTGATTATTTATTTAAGCTGCTTCTTAGCAAATGTAAATTCCTTTACTGAATCTGATTTATGATATACATAAGAGTATTAAACGAAAGCAACGGCTTTCTGTTAACCAAACGTTATTTCTTGAATTGTTTTTGTTATTTTAAAATGTAATGCGCACATAGAAATTAATTGTGAATATATTGTTTCATGAATACTTGTTTTGATGTTAAAGTTGAATATATTATGGACATTGTTCATTAGAATTTATATTTCGATTCTGACATACAGAGCAGATGTCCCCCCCCCGCCGCCGAACTGTTTTGACTAGCGATGATTTATGATGGTTTTTAGTCAAATCTTTTATTATTTTTATTTCCTTTGAGTGCTGTTGTTCCTTATTAAATGTTTTTTCTCATAAAATAAAATATTGTACTTGTTGATTTATCTTTCGAACATTTGAGAAAATGATTATAGTATAATACTTTAAGAAAATACGATTGTTTTCCTTTAATGAATGCGTCTTGAAAATTTTCTTGAAGCGAAAGAAAATAATTATGAATAAACGATGACTTTTAAATAAATAAAGAGTTACTAAGTGTGTGTGCTTAATTAGCTTAATATTTTGTTAAGATTAAGATTTTGAAGAATGCAGCTGATATAAAAGCTTTGTAAGACATTTGTATGTTTTGCTAAGTATAAAACATTCTTGAGCATTTATTATGTTATTTTCTGGAGACAAGTGAATTTATGAGGACATTTATGATATTTTTCGACCTCAGAAATAATAAACTTTTGGAGTATTATTGTTTCATTATAAAAGCTGTTTATAGTGGTATCATGTCGAGTAACGTGTTTACATTTACATTGTTTAGGTATATACATTTTACTTAAAGGTATAATTATTAATTCCTAAAATACTGTATTGTGATAAATGGAAATAACAAATTCAACTTCATCTTTTTCCCTCCCCTCTGACCTCTCATATAATTATGGCTTACCTTGCCCAAAGCACGAAAAGGGATTAAAAACTCTCGCTGCAGAACTGGTTTCCTGTAACGAAACTATCAGTAATATATTTAAAGATCTTATTGTCAATTCTGACGCTTGATGAGGCTTTTACCAGGAATCTCGGAACTTTAATCGAACTAGACAACAAAAACAACGTGAAAGCAACGATGGAGACACGTCAAAGAAAAGAACAAGAACTTTTTAGAATGGGAACGTTTAAAATAAACCTGGCTGGTAGCTCAAAACCTAACTATGCCGCCTTGCTTATGCAGCTATTGGAACAAATATTCAACACCTAATCCCTAAATTTACAGGAACTTCGGACCATTCAACCTACCTGAAAATTTGGAGACATGTGAGACAGTTAATATAAAACAAATAGATTACATCACTCATCTCCTACCTCTTGCCTATAGACATTCGCAAATCATTTTAAGAGAACAAAGACAAATTAGAAGATTATTCTTACATCAAGAGATTCTGCTACAAAGATTCAAATTAAAATCATTTCAAATTAAATTTACTACACCACCAAAAACACCTGGGTCTTTGGAAAAGTTTACTTACGAATAACAATTATCTAAGAGTGCTCCATAGTCTCGATGTTACAGACTTTGAATCACTCAAAGACTTGTCCTGACAGATCAGCTTAAAAGAAGAGTCATTATGACGTTAAGGAGATTTTTGATACTTGGGGAAAAATAAAGAGTTCATCTGATTAGTACAGAAATGGATGATTATGAAGCTGTACGTGTTAAAAAATACGAACTATAAAACTGAACTTCCTGGCAGCGGAACTATTTTACAATTGACTAATCCATCCAAACAAAGTGGAAAATCGAACAATTGACTACAGGGCATAAACCTTTTCAATCGTGTTCAGCAACAACAGAGGAAAGCGACCTCCTTGAACAGCTATGGGTGGCGGAAAAACTGGTTTATCAAGTCTAAATGTCCCAGACTGTAAACCCCCCGAAGACTTCAAATTCATCAAATTTGGCACTATCCAAATCCGATCCTGTTTATCTTCCACCGACTGCTGTATTTCCATTATATTGTGGTGTTTCCGTTACAGTTTCGCCGACACTGGTGCTAGTCACTCAATTGCAGGAATCCCCTATCATATCTGCAGAAACAAGATGCAGTATTTGAAAGACAACACTAGAGGTGTCTTCGCTGATGGTTTGGTACTGAAAAAGAGTTACTCGCACCGAACAAATTATTCTTCGCGAAGGCACGAGAGTTCAAAAAATCCGCTCCTTGTGTTGCCTGATGCCAAAAATAACTCGCTCTGTTAGGAACTGGCTTTCTTCAAAAAGCTAAATGTTTTAAATCTTGCTGAAAATAGTGGAACTTTTCTGATGAACCTCGAAAAAATAGCTTCGTGAAACCTATCAATCCCAAGTACTGGAAGAAACCCCGTTGTTGTAAACAACTCCGACTACGAGAAATGAAGGACGCAATGAACTACAGCCCACGGCTTGCAACTGATGCATTGCTTAACAAATATCACACTGTCTTCAAGTAGGGGGAAAGCCACTAATCAAAGCATCTGGCTTACTTCAACTCCATCTATGCTAAGTTTTGAGACTTTAATGATTGTTCGTCCCCTCCTGAAAACACCGTCTGGGAAAAAAAATGGATTTTTATTGTGCAGGTAGGCTACGACGTGGACAAAACTTGCTTTAAAGGAAGCCACGGGCCAGGAATGTGCCCATTCTTTGGAGGAATCGCCCTTCGATTTGGGTTACCAAAAAAATAAGTTGATAATGGGCCCAGTTTATATGCTGTTATGCAACAATATGCTATATCTTGAACCTGATCAAAGTATTACTGTCTATCACCAAACTAACCAGTTGAAAGAAGAATAATATGAAACCACGTTAGCAATACGTGTGTAAGACCATCATCTGAAGGATAACTGCCATAATAAGGTTTGCTTTGAAACAGTCAAATGTGATTCACTGGAATTCTGCTGCTTTTCTCAGTTGCACGAGAGTTACGAACCTTAGATGATGAAAGCATGATATAAAAAGCAGTATTGAGAACGATAATTTTGTTCCGAATATCCACTTTGAACGTTTTGCAAGAAATGTAACATACGAGAAAGAGTCGAAAGCATAATAAGCAGAAACGATTGCTGACAAAACGAAGGAAACACCGAATTCGTTCCTGGAATAAAAGTTTGGTAAACCCTCCCCAATCAGCAACGGGCCATGAGAAACTGATAAATTCATGCCAAGAGATGGTCCTAGTGATAGTGAACAGATCTCCACCACTTATGATTAGCGATCCCATGAACCGGACAAAATTCCGGCAATATCTGTTCAGCCTTAAACCTATCAGACGAAATAAGCAAAAATCAGCTCGTGTAATTCCAGTGTTACATTAAGAAAGAGGATGCCAGAAACTTTTAAACCGCCCGAATCGCACCTGTGCAAAGTGCTGGTGCGAAAAGCTACTGACGTAAACTGGAGCCGTCCATTGATTTCGCCGCTGCCAAGTAGACAATGTCAGTTCTGACTCTGCCGAGCCTCAAAGTCGAGGGAGAGTACAACCCCCTATTTAAGTGTCTTCACTATTTTTTACACCAGAACATGAACTTACCGAACTATTTTATTAAACGCCATCCGTGGCGATATAAAAAAGTCAGTCGACCTCCAGCCGAAATATGATAGATTACTATGTACTTTATTATCAATGTTGATTTCCTTCGTTATGTTTCATTTTATATATTGCTTTGTTTGTAACGTTCCTGGTGCTCTGTTAATAATCTTTAAAGCTACTGGCATTAGTGTCTATTGAGGAACGGCTACAATATGCATTTTTTTAAACTACATAAAATTATCTATGTAATTTATGATATTGTTTCTAAAACATTATTAGTATAATTACAAAAGAAAGGTAAAAAATGTGTATGTTTTTGTAGCAACAATGTACAATAAAACATTTATGCATTTTTTTATTTGAAAATTTTCAAGATATTTTAGCTAATTTACATAAATGTTCTTCTCTTTAACATCTTTTTTGTTTCAATAAACAAATCAATAATCCCACTAGTCTCTGCTTCATCCTCTAATTTGTTAGTGTTCTAACAATATACCTTCGAAAAAAATTTTCTTTCTATTTATATAATCAATTTCTTTCTTGATCAAATTCCTCTACATTTTAAAATTTCAGATTTAATTGAGGATTTCTATTATTTTAAAGAACTACATGTACTTAGAATGTTCAGAAGATGGGGAATAAATATGAAATGATACTAGGTCAGTTGCAGCAAAAGAGCCAATGTGACAGAATTCCTATCCATGTAAGAAGATAAGAAATATTTTTGCAATTTTCCATGCTTGTGTCTAATAAGAAGATGAGAAAATAAAGGGAAGGTAAAACATGTTACGAGAAAGACTTCTAGGATCAAAAGCAAAGAATTCAAAAAACTTTGTTTTCGCTTTTTTACCTGTTTTCGCTTTATTACCAAAAATTTTCCATAAAAGAAGAAATTTATCACAATTTTCCTAAAATACACATTCATTATGTTAATACCATGAAAATATCTTTCATTTTGTCACATTTTCCTGAAATCTTCTGGTATCAAAGGTTTATCAATCTTGCTTTTATATCCCTCTAAACCTTCCACATTACAAGAGCTAAAAATTATCCTTACCATGTCTGTAAGAGCAAAAAGCCAGAAGATTTTTGCATAATAATTAACCCCTTAACTGCCGCGGGCGTATATATACGCCTGCTCAGCGAGCGTTAGCCCAGATTGCAGAGACCGTTAACTTTCGAATTTTTAGGTGTAGCAGCGCAAGCAAATGATAGCGTTGGGAGATTATTACGCTGGGGCAGTAAAGATCAGTGAGCAAGGCGTAATATCGCCAGCGGCAGTTTAGGGTTAAAAAAAAAAAGAAAAAAAAAAAAAAGAACGTGTTAAGTAAATTTTTAAAAGCAAACTGAAACCAATGAATCTTCTGAACAGAACATAAAAAAACCTCTAATCAAAATACAATGAAATAAAATTAAAAAAATCATAAAAAAAAAAAGAAAAAAAAAAAAAAAAAAAAAAGAAAGAAAGAAAGAAAAAAAGAAATCTAAGGTTTCAAATTTGTCAAAAGGGGCATTTTTTAAACATTTGTGGCTACCTTATATTAAATATCACGTTCTCACAGTAAACCAAAAATCATTCAGCGCATATCACAAAGAATTTTAAAATGAGCAGATTTTTAGAATTCAGAGAACCAGTCTCGTGCCTGGAGATGAAACTGTTTTCTTACTAGTGCTGCTCGCTTCGAAATCCTTCAGGTTGTCAATAAAACATTCGTTAAGTTTACACAAAATATGAAATGATAATAAAAAAATTCAAATTTCAATTGGGCTTCGATATCCATATTCGAGGAGGATCACGTTTTTTCAAATTTAATGGCTCTAGTTAACGTTTTTACACAATGAGAGAAATTATACATTTGTTGATTCTTCATTATTGAATTTCTTTACATATAATACAGGGCGACAATTTTTGGTCGCAACAATTTGAAAAGTGAAACAACGCTTGTAGTGAATCGACGCAAAATGCCAAAACAAAATTAATTGTCCTTCTGGACAAATTGCCCCTTTGGAGTAATAACTACAGCAGCTTTTGCTAAGAGCTTCAGATACTTTTTCATAGGATTTATTATCTTATTTTTCAGAATGAAAATAATCCTAAGTTTTCAAAATGATAAGTAATGTTCTTTTTAAAGTATGGCATATGAAAATAAAAATGTTTCATTTTAGAGCTACTTCTTAGTTACAGTTTTAGTATAGTATCCTTTTTAATGATATTTATCAATTTTATTATGTTTGTATAATAAAATTATGAAAATATACATAAATTTTGTATACAAACTGATCTTAAACTGTCATATTTAGCACCGAATAATAAGAAAAATCATATCTCAAAAAGGAAAAAATATCAGATTAGTAAAATTAAGGACCTTTTGCCAATTTAAGTGTAAATTTACTTCTAAGGACTTCTAAGGACTAACAATGTTTCCAAAAATCCTAAAGACTCTTAAGTACTTTTAAGGATCGCACAAACCCTGTATGCATATGTGACTTAAATGAAAGTTACCTCAACATATGCAGAATGAAGAGGGAAACGGGATGGAGCTTCTCCATATTTTCTATCCTCGATATAACGTCGAAAATCAGGCAGACCTCTTTGTTCCATCATATAAGATGCCTATTAAAAAGAAAGAAAATAAATAAAAAATACAAACACAACAAAATCGAATTTATTATCTACCAAGTAACTACGTAGCGTATTCGGAAACTAAGTACCGTTTCATTCTAGTGCCGTCGCAGCGCTGTGGTAGGTGTCCCGCGCATGCGCACTAGTCTTTCTTGTTCACTGACTTCAATTGCCGCCATTTTGTTCTCTATGTTGTGTTTTCAGTTTGCTGTGCACATTCAAAAATGTTAAGACATTAGTTCTCCCGCTGACGTGAGATTCGTGCCGTGATTAACTTTTGAATGCGAGAATGTTAAACCGGCCGAAATTTATCGTCAAGTGACAGAAGTTTGCGGTGAGTACGCGATAAGTGATGGAATGGTGAGAAAGTGAGTAAGAATGTTAATGCAGGCGAACAAATGTGCACGCCAGCTCGGAGTGGTCGGCCTTATGTTTGTCACGATGATTTGGTAAGGAAGTTGATGAAGCAATCATCAAGAACAGACGCTTCACAATGACAACTCTTTCAGAGGCATTTCCACAAATTTCACGTACGTTTTGTTCGAAATTGTGTCTGACCGCTTGAATTATCGCAACTGTGTTCCCGATGGGTTCCAAAAATGCTCACTCATGTTCACAAAACCAAGCGACTTGGTAGTGCCCTGACATTTCTCCGCGGTACAGTGATGAGGAAAAAACTTTTAAAACCAAATTGTGACAAGTGATGAAACTTGGGTATCACTTGTTCCTGCAATGAAGCGCGAGCTGGGGGCAAGCGCTTGGATCTGACGATGACACGAAAAATGCTGTGAGTCGTGGTTATCGAAACTGGCGGGAAGTTTCTTTGACGATGGTATACAAAAAACTGGTAACCCGCTATGACAAGTGTTGATCATGGGGTGGAAACTGTTGAAAATAGTTTAAGACATGTATTTCATGTAGAAATAAAATTGATTCGAAAAATTTTTTACTATTTTTTTATCAAAACGGTACTTAGTTTCCGAATAAGCCTCGTATATTTTAGTGAAACAGACAAATATAAATTGCTAATAATTGGTAAGTCAACTAAAGTCAGTGATTTTAATATTTTATTAACATTTTTATTCACATAATTTTTTTTATAATAAGATAGTGTTTAATTGTACAAACACAAAACTTCCAAGATCTCAAATTCTGAATGCTAAGTCTTGAAAACAGCCACCATTTCATTGCATTTTTGAAGTCAAACATCTATGGTTTTCTTCCTCAATATAAAATGCTAACAGAAATTTCAATAATTTTCTTCCCTCCCCCCCTTTTTTTTTTGGAGGGGGGACTAGTAACTAGTTCTTTAATACCTTGTGGGAACAGATGTCAAAAAAATTCTATCATGCATTAAAAGTTTAATAAACTCATTCAGTCACATCTGACAATACTTAGGCGCCAAAAATATCACAATATATCGAGAAAATTGCCTGGAAATTAATTTTAGTTCATTGCCTGTGATGTATTGCTCCACTTCACTGAAACCTTGTTCCAATAAAAAATTGTTTTAAAACTTAGTTTCTCAATATAATACATAGTGATATTCCAAATTATTAGAGCTGATAATATACATATATTTTAAGGAGATTTATGAAGTTTGGTTACCCAGTCACATAAAGCATCAAAAATTAAAATTAAAAAAAAAAAAAAAAAAAAAAAAAGAGAAGATTTAGATTTTTTAATGGCTTACTAGACGGTTTGTCAAGGTTTCTTATGCTCTTGGCGAGCTATAGTTTACAATCTGCTATTGGACTCATACTTGCTAATACAACATTTTTGCCTTTTAAATTATATTTTTAAACTAGCTAATGTCCAGGTCTTATGCAGACGGAAAATCAAAAAAGCTTCATTTAAACGGATATCACAAGGAGGCAGTGATTTTCCTCTGATTACGGTTCAAGGTTAATTGTGCAAAATTTTTCCAAGCTTGAATAAAACTGTAGAACAGCATAAGGTGACATATTTTAGTAAGAACTGATACTTCCTTTGTTATCAGTTATCTCGTCTCTCTCTCTCCTTTTTTTTTTTTTTTTTTTTTTAAATATAGTTTTTAGAAAATCACCAACCACATTGGCCAATATCTTCACAATCTTCATAAAAGACTGATAGACAGCACCCTTAAATTTTCTTTAAAGGTTCTACACTCATCTGGGAACTCATCTGGAATCTTTCATTCATTAAAACACGGTTTTAATGAATGAAATGAACTAACCAGGTGTCAACTAGCAATTTTAGTAAGAACTAATAGTAGGAATGCAACAATGGCAATGTGAACCTAAGCTAAATGATTTTTACCCAAGATGAACGTCATGAGCACAATGTTCTGTTATAAGTGCCCTGAGTGTGGACTCCACGGGGTAGCTTCCAAAACCTTATATAACATTGAGCTTATTGAGATCCGATTAAACTATAGATTTATATGAAGTATACACATAAAAAAGGACACTTCTTTACATACAGAGATGATTTTAAATGAATCCAATTAGTGTAATTTCATGGGTCCAGCTAATAATAATAATTAGAAGGAATCCACATCTATTGTTGCTTAGGTGCTAAATCGCTTAGTTTATTAATTAATAACAGAATTTAAAAGAGAAATTAAATATCTTGTGCTTTGCTGAATAACACATAAAGATAAAAATGTTTTAATTCGGTACTAACCGATTTCTTTTAAAATGCTGAGACAAATATATGCTATTTCGCTGAGTGGCACCATACATCTTATTTCATACTGTTCAGTTTTCTGATTAGATTTGAAATAGAAATATCTTATAATTTCCCGAGTGGCTACATAAAGCTTATCAATCACTGAGTTTTTAAATCAAAAGTTCATTAAATTTACACACAGACACAAAAACTCACTCGCTCACTCACCCTCCCACCCGCCTACTAATCTATTTATCTAGCTGGTGGTTTTTCAAAATTTTTTGAAGACAGTGAGTGACCTTCCTCTTATTTTGCAGATCAAGTTGCAGAATTTCATTAAGATTGGAATCAAACTGCAGATATGTATGAATTATACACAAACACATGGACATTCTTCTCTACACATACAGATATCACTTTCTTTAAAAATCAGCATATCTTTAGAATCCTAATGGAGTATTAAAAGTTGCTATTTTTTTTTTACATTTATTAGATAATTTCTTAAAAATAAATGTGATAATATTTTTAAAAGCAACAGACCTTTTAATTTGTGTTGCTACACATTTTGTTTTTAATATTTGTGGTGTTAACATGCCGTGGCAACATTTAAAAAATTACTTGGACATAAAAGTGAGGAAAAATTACAGCAATATTACTACATCTTGCATCATATAATGGAAAACATAAAAAGCTAATTTTGACAGAATGTGTATCAAAATGATAACCATCTTACACATATAGTATTTGCAGCCAAGACGTTTCCATAAAAGAGTTATACGCCAACACTTGGACCTTCCTTTTAGAGGAATTATTGGAAAAAAATTAAAAAATTGTATTACTAAATTTTAAAAATTACCTATTTCATCAGCTCACATATAGTACCTATTAAAAGGAAATTTATGCCATTTACAGTATATGTAGCTTATTAAACTCACTGGCCTCTTATTTTGTTCGAATTCCGATGAAGTAAAACAAATACATATTAATTAATAGAAAAACCCATCAATTATTAAGTTCAGAATGGCTAAAGACCACTCTCTTCAGTGCTAGAATATCTTGGTTGTACCTGTTAAAGCCTTTTGTAGTTCATTCATTTAATGTATTGTGGAACATGGCTTTATCATTCAAATATGTAATACTTCACTAAAACAGGTCTGAATGAAAACTTCCTACCTCTCCCCTGGTCCCTGTAACTACGTAACATTGTTTTCAAAGTCCTTTGTCTGTCTGTCTTCTTCTTACTGATCTTTTTTACCTGAATTAGATCAGATCCATAAGTTCATTTGCCTTCATAACTTCCAACATAAAATTAAGTCTTTTAGTCATGAAATTAGTTCACCATAGTCTGTACTGGTTTTCAAAGGGCCTACTTTGTGGTTAAGAGAGTTGTTATCTTAATGTCAACAAAAACAGTCATCTAGAGACACTAAATCAGTGAAAGTTCCTATTCGAATACCGCTGATAGAAGGAAAAAATGCAGCTTCTGTACTCCATTTTTTAAATTTCCACATTCAGCATCTTCCCTATGGAGAGATACACTATGTTGAAAGTTCAAAAAATGCTTTTCAGCATTGTCATAGATTAAAAGTCTTTAAATGGAAGGTTAGTGATAACTGTAGACTGAAGGGAAACATTGGTCATGCTCATAATCATGAAGAGTAGAGTGACTAAACAGACAAATGATTTATTCAAACAAATTAAGACAAAGGGTTTTAATTTATTTGAAAAAATCATTGGAAGAAGCATTTTTAAAATTTGTTCTGTGCCTAACCTGTAACATGTCGAAATGGAAAGCAAAAGATAAAATTGAACAAATAGAATAAATTGCTAAAAGATTTTAATGTTTTTGATAATTGCAGCTAGACTAAAACTATGTTTAAACTGAGAATTTCACACACAGCATCGTGCAATCCACTTAAAAACAATGAATTATAATTAATGAAGAATTAATAAAAAATGCAAATGTTTCAAAGAATTTCAAAAAACAGAAAACTGAGAGACATCGAAACTGCTTTTCTATAAGTTATAAAGCTAAAAGTGTTTTTATTTCTAGACCTTTTTTCACTAACCCACTAAATGCAAAGTCAGAATTTTATATCAACTGACATATGGCAAGTTGAAGAAAGTGAAATCCAACATTGTCCATCAGAAACTGCACGGTAAGAAGGTAGATGCGGATCATCACGCAGCTGATAACTTGATGCAAGACGTTTTACTTGGGCTGCTAAATGTATACAAGCCACATAAAATTTATAACAGATAAAACTGAACTGCATTACAGAACATTACCAAAATTAATATTCAAAAGTGAAAGAACAGCTGGTTTAAGAAACTGGAGGAATGCATTACTGTATTATTAACATGCAATATGGATCTAACAATAAAGAAGACAGGACTGGTTACTGACAAAAGCAGAAAACTTGATGTTTGAAAGGAGTCAAGAATATATTTGACAAAAGCAGAAAACCTCGATGATTGAAAGACGGCAAGAATATACTTATCAGAGTGACAAGAACTCATGGGTGACAAAAAGTACTTTTATTGATTTTCTTTTTTAACGGGATATTAATTTCTTTTTAAATTTAATTTTCTTTATATATTAAAAAAAAAAGCTTTACTAATCAGAAAACTGTGAAGGACAAACACAACCAATCTCTTTCTGAAAAAGATTAGTGTCTCTTTCTCTTTCTGTATATACATCTAACATTTTCAGAATATTATAAAAGCTTTCAAAATTACAGAAATATGTTTCATAAATGATGAACAAAATTGAATTTTGTGAAAATGTAAGTGTTTTGCCCTTTGTGAAAATGCAAAGAGATAAAGTAAGTCAATATCTCTTCTAGAGGTCATGCATTTTGAATTCAATGCAAGGGGTTAATATCTCAAAATCAGTTAATACTGTTTTAGAAAATATGACTTACACAGAAGTGGCTTCAGAAAAATTGCAAACTATAGCTAATGTTTCAAGCATCAATGAGAGAAGTTATGAAGATTCATTTTCAGAATACGTTGTGTCGATTCATAACGCTGTCGAGATAATATGCATAAAAACTGGCAATAAAAGTGTTAAAAGAAATGTGGAAACTGACAGCAAAAATGATACAAAAAATTGACAGCATGCCATTATTAATCAAATCTATAAAAACTGTAAATTCTAAGAAAATTTCTTAATTGGTGCTGATCAAAAAGCTGTCAACAGTTTTAAGAATTAAGAATATAATTAAAAAACTGGTGTTGAAAAATATGAAATAATGTTAAAATGAATTCAAAAATTCCATAAATTGTTTAATTTTAGTATTAATTTTTAATTGTTATGTTTGAATTAATGAATGAATTATTTGTTAGTTATTATTTTCATTCGAAAGTGTAAAACTGGTATGGTATGTAATATACAAAACGTCATCAATTAAATTCAAATACTTTTGGAATGGAAGGCTCAGGTGTAAAGCACGTTAAATCAGGCCCCTTGGCTATAAGCTGCATCCTGCATATAACGTCATATGGCATAGCGTGATTATAGCATAGTTCTTAGAGAATAAATCTCGTGGGTTGCAGTGATGAGCCTTGCGCACATACGTAACATCGAGTTAGTCACTTCATTGATATCTGGAGGTGTCAAAATGCAATAACATATTAGCAATTATAGCAATAAGAGACATATTAAAGATGTCGCATGCTACTATTTTGGCTGCTGGTGCTCAAATGGACGAAGATGGATGGTGAAAGAAGGTCTTTAGAGTCCTGGGAGGAGCTACTGGGTCACGTGGTCCAATGGCATAACTGGAAAGTCAGTGCATAATCTTGCTAATCAGGCATTGGTCGGGGGTGGGGCTAAGTTCAAATCTTAAATATCAAAGTAGACTTAGTAATTAAAATAAGGCAACTGCAGTAATAAGATCATGGAGTGAAATACTTTGGCAGGCCTAAACATCTATTGCAGGGAATTAGCAATAAAATAAATTGAAATTTAGAATATACAAGTGAAAAAAGCCTAAATGAAGCTTTTGTGATGTGAGTGGATAAAGTACAGTAGTCGGAAACTAGACGGCGAAACTGTAGTTGTGCAAGGCTAGAAATAGTTACGGAAATTAAACGTAGATGACGACATTTATGCGTGCCTTTAAAACTTCATAAAAATGAGTGAAATTAGACAAATTTACTGAGAAAAATTAAGAGATAAGGGGGTAAATAGAATCAAAATTCAACAAAATGAATTAACTTAAGTGCCAGAGTACTGCTCCAGGTCTTTTTCTATTTTCATCGTCTGCATAATCATAATTCAAACTCGGGATTGAGTTGATATTCACTTTTTCAATATTCCTGAAAATTTTTTTGGCAATATTGGCTATGCATACATTATTTTTATTAACATTAAACTCATTATGGATTGCATCGTTTTTGATATACTATGGGCAATTTGCCATCCTTCTAAGTGTGATATGCTGGCTTTGCTGAATCTTTTTCATTTTAGAGTCATAAACAAAACCCCAGACTGGACAGGCATAAGTTATGATGGGTTGCAACATGGATTGGTAAACATGAATTTTATTTTGAAGATAGCTCTTAAGGAGTTGAGTAACGCTTTAGTACCCCGAAACTTATTTAAAATATATGTTATGTGTGGAGTCCATGTAAGTCGTTGGGCTAAAATGATACCAAGGTATTTTACTTGCTTGGCCCAGGGAATGCTGACATCATACATCTTGAGCATGATGTTTAACTGAATGTTTCTTCTGTTGCTGAAGTAGACAGCTTCTGATTTATTAACATTAGTTTTTATTTTCCATTTGGTCATCCAGGACTCTAATGCATGAATGTGCTCTTGTAGTGTTTGTACAACTGTAGTCATAGGCCCATTTTGATAGAGGATGCCAGTATCATCTGCATATAATGCTAGTGTAGTGAGGGGGTTATGAGGAATGTCATTCGTGTAAATTGAAAATAAAGTGGGCTTTGGAATGGAAGCGATTTTTAACGAGCAAAAGTACCGTCACTCCTTTATTTTATTTTTCTTGCCGTGTGTTAAAAATGCTTATTACAGTAATGCTTTTTCCTGAAAATAAAAATTATCTTTCCAAGAAAAAATTAAATGCTTGAAAAACAACCTAAAAAAAAAAAAAAAAAAAAAAAAAAAAAAAAAAATTTAAATTTAATTTTTAATAATTATCATCATCAAAATGTAAACTGAAGCTTAGTTGTTTTTCACATAGTATTTTATCTGTGTATTTAATTGTAGTATTTAGTATATATATAGAAGGTCACGGTTATTTGTTTTTCTTTTTCCTCCAAAAAAGCTGATTCACTGCGCAAAGAAAAGAGGACAAACTTCTCAAGAGACAGGTGAACTTCTGTGGGATACAAAATTATCCATAGCAACAACTTTGAGTTCAGCATAGATTTTAGCCAACTTTATTGATTTCTAGAGCAAACAACATGTTTTTTTCAACAGGAGAAAAGAAATCTGCAACGAACAACCATGGCTTTGCCTTCATTACAGATTTCTTTGCTCCTGATGAAGAGGAATCTGTACTTGATTGCTCTTGAAACTGAGAGTCTTGACTAAAATTTACATCAAACACAAAGTTGTTGCTTTGCCTATTTTATGTTTTATTTTGAGATGTTTCTATTCTGTCTTGGTTTTCTGTGGAATATTTTTGAAAAAGAATTAGATGTCAAAGAATTGTTTAGAGCCAATGTAGATTCCAACCTTGAAAACACTCTCACACTTCCGATTTTTCTGTCTTTGATAGTTACAACTCTAAAATGTAACCCGCAATGAAATCTACTAGAGTACTGAAAAATAATATAAATGAATGGAATGATCATATTCATTGAAAGCAGGAAGCTAAGTCTCCAAGTAACCACAATTACACGGCACCAAAACTTTCTTAGTGTCATTAAACCTTCTTCAAAGTCTTCAAAGACATTTGGTTGGGTATGTACTTTCTCTCAAAAATGGCTACGATAATACTGGAACCTCGATTTCATTTAGGCAACTTGTCCCATTTGCCTATAATGTGATAGGCATTATTTACCATATCTTTATAAAGTGGGTCAAAAACTGGAAATATGAGATTTCTTTCCCCATTAATAAATGTAATCCTTTGTGCTATAAAGCCAAAATTGCTCCTAATTCTTCACATGTGCTAGATGCAACGGACAAGTTCAAGCTTCTATTATGGTACTTACATATTAGCATAACTGTCTTAGTAGAAGTCACTAAACTTGCACAAAACAGTTCCCCAATTTTAACAAATAATATCACCATTTACATGCATGTTCTTTCTGTTGCATTTCAATAAAAGTATATTTGTAGTTCCAACAGTTTTTATGATGTGATAGCTTTTGTTTTAAACTCAATTTTAAAATGTGTGCTTGTACAATGTGTTCGCAGTGCTTGAAGCTATGGCAAAATTTTCTGCATGAATATAGTATTTTGACACAGAATCGCTAAAAGAAACAATTGCTCTAAATCTGTTTTTCATGTGATCATCAAAAAATTTACATCAGGACAAATGAAACAACAACAAAACAAAACAAAAAAAAAAAAAAAAAAAAAACCCTTGTATGCAGTTTTTATGATTTATTTTTTGAATATATACTTTATGAAAAGTTTAAAAAAATATATATAATAAAATATTTTGAATATATTAATAGCCTTCTTTTGCTTCTGTAAAAAAATCACCAAACTCCATGGTGGTTGCACATATATTAATACAAAAGTACTCTATTATACTATAGGTAACATAAAACAGTCACAATATTCAAAGTGTCGCAGGAATCCTCACCTGAAAAATCTAACAGACTGGGTCATAAATGAATGCCTTAACATTATAAGAAACCTTCTGAGCAAAATATTAGACAGAAAAGCAACTGATAATATTACTCGCTCATAGCTCCAGTTTCTGCGCAATAATCAATTAGAAGACCAGCATCACCAAAAACAAAAGCAAATCAAATACTGTAAAGAATAAATAGTCCCTCTTGATTTATAAACTTCATATTTTTCTTGTAAAACTACATATGCAATAAGATTTTTATAACTCATAAATGAAAAAGGTAATGTTATTTCTAATACTGAAAATATTACCTGTAAATGGTGTCCTGGCAAAGCTTCATGTAATGCTAAAGTCATCATTTCGTATTTTGGTCTAAATAATAATATATTTAGCAAATATTAAAACTTGGTTTACATAAGCCATCTTATGGCACAAAAATAATAGCATCAATATTTCATATTTAACTGATGTGGTATTATGCTAATTTTAAAAATACAATTTTTATTTAATGCTGAGAGAACACAAGAAAAGTTTTTGTAATTTCATGAATCTGCTAAAAATATGATCATGCACCCAACATAAATTTCAATCATTACATCTAGATTGGGAGTTTTCAACCAGGGAAAGAGGAATTCGTAAGTTCAGCGGGAGAGGGGAATGTGCTCAATCTTTCATTTAGCTATTTAGTTTTATTTATGAATATCAAAAACTATTTTTATTCAAGTTCTAGTATTTATCAACTTTTTGAATGCTTTTTGTTGTTTAATTTATAAGTTTTGTGAATGCATATACAAGGCAGTGGTTAATTTTAACCACCTGGCTGCTCATTCCACGATTTCCACGGGCAACTCAAATGTAGGAAAATTTGCTCATCCTGCGATTTTCATAGGCATGTGTTTTTCTTCCTTTATTGAGGAGCACATTTTGTCTTTTATATACAGTACTAGACGTTCAATTTAGCTTTTGATCAACAGATGTTGTTAGCAGTCCACTAAATTGCAGCATTTGAAGGTACTTAGCATTTACCACTCTAACTTCACTATGTTTGCCACCTTTTTCTAATTAGAAATGGTTGCTAGAAAACGTTCAGCGACTAATGAAAAAAAGATGCAAATGGAAAAAAGAAAAAATTAGCAAAGAAACACGAATCTGGTGCAAAGACTGTGAAGTTGGACCTTGCCTTCAACCCTATTTTAAATTCTACCAAACTAAACTAGATTACTAAGGCATTTTTCTCAATGCATTATATTTAAATTTTTATTTTATTTTTTTATATTATGTAATAAATAGATTGATGTAATAAATATAGATGTAATAAATATATAGATGTAATAAATGACTGTAATTTGATTGATATTAATTATTATTATTATTTTGTGATAACATCTGAAATTGGTTTTTCTGACAGCTTAGTTTCTCATGAAAAAAATCTATATAAAAAATCTTTCCTAGAGAGAAAAAATGCATATTTCAATTCTCCAATATACATAGATTTAAAGTATAAAAAAATTTAAAGTGATTTCGGTCCACAAATTGAGCAGTCAGAGGGTTCAACACATGCATTTCTTGATGAAACTACACACAAATACTGTTTAAGTTGTGACAATAACTGGGATCCTGATGCAATGTACACTGCACAAAAAAAGGGGGAGACAGTTCTATATCTCCCGTTCTACTGGGCCGATTGTCAAAATTCAAATTGTGTTTTTCATGCCTCGAAAGCGCGACTTAGGATATATATTAGATTTATATACGGCACTATTCTAACATAGGTATTTTGACACAAAATCAGACTTTTTCTGAAATAACATACTAATTTTTTTTTACATATTTCAATTCTATGACTCAAATTATGGCTCAAATTATGTGAAAAGATATATAAATAAGAAAGATGCATATTCAACATTTTAATGTAGGATGAGTTGCATACATTGCTTGCTTTACACAGTTTTACAGTTTTAACATTGTACCCATTGCTTTACACAATTTTATCATCCTACATTTAATTTCTTAAAATGTTATTAATATTCTAGTCAAATATTTTATTTTTGAAATTGCAAGAATCAAATACCATAAAATTTTTTAAAAATACTAAATTTTATGCAAAAATTTATTTTTTCTTGTTAATGGCTTGCTCTTTTTTTCTAAGGCATTCTGCAAGTATATTAAAAGCATCCAACTTTTCGAAACATCTTGGTATTTCTGATATTAATTTTGAATAAAGTTATCGTCTTTCATTTCAAAAGGGCCCACTAACGGCCGAGCGGTTAAGTCGCTGAACACTGGTAGTTTCGCTCCGGGGTTCTAATCCCAGTGAACGGGCTGGCTGCATGGCCATTTCCATGATTTTTCTCATGTATAACGTATATACGAGCTGGTTTCGCTTAGAAAGTTCTTCACAAAGGCATCCTTCCTATTAGGCTGATAGCCCTGCTTTGCAGTAACTTTATTAAAATATTAAATTTTACTAAATACTAAATTTTATAAAATTTGGTGCGAAATTTATGGAGAAACTCAAAATTTATATTGGCCCCCTTTTTTTTTAGTTTGAGCCAAGATGAGTTCACTTAGCGAACTTCTTAATATATGGCAACCTACTTTCCTTTCCCTTTTTACATTGTGGGTGAAGGGAAAAAAAGTCACATCGTTCTTTCTTTCAAATAATGTTCTTCATATTATATTTTAATTATAATTCTTATTATTTTAAATAATTTTTTTCTTTTCGAATTTCATTTTAACTGTTTAGGTTGCATGGTTTCTTTCAAATAACTGTTTTAAAATTTTTTCCTTACTCATTCGAACTGCGTAGTTTAAATAAAAGCTTCATCATTTTTTTTTTAATAATTTTCTTTATACTATATTTTTTAGTCATAGTTATTATTTCAGGTAATTTGTCAATTTTTAGACTTTTTAGCTGGTTTGTTTGTATTGTATTGTCTCTTCAGATACTGTTTTAAAGTTTTCTATTCATTCGAACTGCACATTTTAAATATATTTATTAATATACATTTTCCAGAATTTAATTTTATTTATTTGAATTGCGTTTCTTTCGGAAGAATACTTTGTGATCCAGACTAGGATGCGTTTGAAAACTGCATATATTAAAAGAGAAAATACAGCAAAGCACAGTTAACATGCTTTTCAATGTTCCGTTCTGAAAAGATATATAAATAAGAGAGATGTATATTCAACATTTTAATGTAGAATGAGTTGCATACATTGCTTGCTTTACACAGTTTTACAGTTTTAACATTGTACCCATTGCTTTACACAATTTTATCATCCTACATTTAATTTCTTAAAATGTTATTCATATTCTAGTCAAATATTTTATTTTTGAAATTGCAAGAATCAAATACCATAAAATTTTTTAAAAATACTAAATTTTATGCAAAAATTTATTTTTTCTTGTTAATGGCTTGCTCTTTTTTTCTAAGGCATTCTGCAAGTATATTAAAAGCATCCAACTTTTCGAAACATCTTGGTATTTCTGATATTAATTTTGAATAAAGTTATCGTCTTTCATTTCAAAAGGGCCCACTAACGGCCGAGCGGTTAAGTCGCTGAACACTGGTAGTTTCGCTCCGGGGTTCTAATCTCAGTGAACGGGCTGGCTGCATGGCCATTTCCATGATTTTTCTCATGTATAACGTATATACGAGCTGGTTTCATTTAGAAAGTTCTTCACGAAGGCATCCTTCCTATTAGGCAGATAGCCCTTCTTTGCTGTAACTTAATTCAGTCTATTTCATCAGTATTTGGTCAGAGCCTTTATCAGTCTTTAGAGGCTACACATTTTGAAGGCATGAGATGAAAGGAAAGTCTTTTATCAAGAGGGAAAACATCTTTAGATGATATCCATATACATCACTGGATAAATTCCTGAATCTTCAAATAATTCTACTGAGAAATCATCGGATGCTTCGTTTATGATACGATGTTCTATGAAGTAATTTAAATTTATACAACCATACAGTCGAAAGCCAGTCGCTCATCACTTTAATCAGCAATGATATCGTTTTTGTCTTTTCCATTAGCACAAACTCAATTGTTGTTATTTGATGGTGTACATAAGTGTTTCCTCTTAGAATACCCAATTACCTTGAAGTAGATCCCGCTTAAATTTTTGCTTTTTTCCCCTAATTTTCTTTTTTCCTTCTACATTTGCTTTCAGTGCTGACACAAACAAATTAAGATTTTTCGATTGTTACACTTCCATAGATTTTGCATTCTTGTCAAATTTTGTAAAATATTAGTTGCAGCAAATGCGTTTCAGCTGAAGACAGCTTTTCATTTTCTAAACATTTTAACTATAAATAAAGTTTAAAGCAAAGTCCAAAGGATAAATATTTGAATTAAAAGATTTTTCTTAAATGAAAAAGAAATAAAACACTCCAGCAGTGCTTATCTTGTACTACCAAGTAACCTGATTCTTATATCTGGTGCAAACAATCTAAATTACATTATTTAGACTTTTTAAGCCTAATAATTTCTAGATTAAAGAAGATGTTTTTTATAATCTACAACACGAGAGAAAGTTACTACTTCAAACATTCTCTTTCTAAGAGAATTAATGTAAAAATTTATATTTATATAGATATTTTTTAAAGCTGGGACATGACCCAAACTTTCAACAGCCTGTTTGCTTAAACACATTGTGAAAATAAATATTAAATGAACTTTTTCTGTTTTAGGCAATTCAGTTTAAATGAAGATAAAGTAAAGAAGCAGACGATAACACGGCGAAGGTAAAAATTTACTCTTACAAATATTTTAATAAAAAAGGAAAAAAGAAAGAAATTTTTTTAAAAATATTAAAAATTTGAATAATACCATCTATAATTTTAAAAAAGTAGTTTTCATATATAGTATTAATAAATATTTATTATGCATCATTGAGAGAAAAAATACCATATAATTTCTCTGTAAAAATTTATTTGGAATTTAAGGTTAAAAATAGCTGTGACAATTCACAGAAACAAAATTCATAAACCACATTTGGCATTATTATCGCTCAAAAGGTGCCAAATTTCAAAACGCACAAATATGTAAATTGGTGTATATCTTAGAAAATTTTGAATAAAAAACTCTAATTTTTTGCAGGTATGCTTAGAACTACGCCTACTTTAAGATGATAATAAAAATTTTATAGGTTATTATTCAAAATATTTTTCAAAAAATTAATAAAAAATTATTTAAAAATAGAAATTTTAAAAATAAAATACAAAAAAAAGTTAATTTTATTTGAAATGAACCTAAATTTTGAAATGCGAAAGTAAAAATCAAAAAAGTTTAATAAAAAAAAGAGATATTAATAAAATAATATATGCCAAATTCAATTAACATTGAGGAGCTAACATTTGAGAGCTAATTTTTTAAAAACTACTCATACGATTTTTACAAAATTGGCAGTCTGGGAGAATTTGAGTTGTAGAATCGAAATATGTAAAAAAAAATCGGTATGTTATTTCAGAAAAGTCCGATTTGTATCAAAATACCTATGTTAGAATAGTGCCATATATATATATATATATATATATATAAATGTAATGTGCATCCTAAGTCGCACTTTCAAGACATGAAAAACACAATTTGAATTTTGTCAATTGGCCCAGTAGAACGGGAGATATAGAATTTTCCTATTTTTTTTTTTGGGGGGGGATGTGCAGTGTACATATTGATACAGTGATGATACAAAACAGAATTTATAATACAAAACACAACATTACCTATTAAAGCTAAGGCACATACACTTAAACAAAAGCTTAACCAACAAAATTTTATTACCTAAAATTAACTAGCCCTTTAATTTCAAATTTAAAATACATACTCTTAATGACCAGAAATAGCTTCAAAGTAAAATATGGTGTATTTAATTATGGCAAAGCGCACTAGGGCTATCTGCCTAAGGGGAGGGATGCCTTTCGTGGAGGACTTTCTAAGGGAAACTGGCTCGTATACACGTTACACATGGGGAAAACCACGAAAACGCCCATGCAGCCAGCCCGTTCGCGGTATTCGAACCTCGGACCGAACTACCAGTGTTCAACGACTTTACCGCTCGGCCGCTGGTGGGCCTCAAAGTAAAATATATATAATATATATATATATATTAAAACATGCAAAATGAAATTATCATTTCAGAAATCACAAATATATATATATATATATATATATATATATATATATATAAAAAAAAAAAAAAAAAAAAAAAAAAAAAAAAAACAGATATCTAAGGGTTTTTTTTTTTAACTAACTTTTAGAAATTGGACAAACTTATAATAAATATAACACAAGTCTATCAATTCTCTCCCCCTAAAAATGTAGCTAAATAAAAATAAGAAAATAATAATATTTATAATTAAATATAATTCAAATATTCCTTTTATAGGCAAATTATGAAATTGCTCTACAGGAGAACAAATGCATACAACTAGAAGAAAACAAATCACATTAAAAATATGTGACCTAAATTATTTCTTTTTAAGTTAATAACTAAAAATTGATATATTTTAATTAAAATACTTACAAAGCCTATGTAATTAACCCAGTTTACAAATAAGCAATACGAAAGGCTATATCTACTTACGTGGCTTTAACATCTCTGACATTAACATAAAAAACTCCTGGTTGGCTACCATCCAATGTTCCTGCTAAATAATATGCAGCAGGACCACTAGCCATTGACGGAGGTGTTGGCTTAATGCTAAAAAAATTAAGTTTCTTTTATTAAATTACGAAATTTATAATAAAAGAACAACTTAATGCATTAATTTCTTGATGCAAAAGACAATGAAAAGATTTTTAATTATAAAAATGCATAGCTCTTAATTTTTAATTTCTCCACTCTATTTCATTTTCTAAACTATATAGTTAAAATATTAGAATTTCATCACCTGGACATTTGCTATTAATTTTACTTTTAAGCCAAATCCAAAGATTCATTTGCCTTCATTTGAGAAGTTTTATGAATCCATTAAATTAAGCAGAGTAATTCATCATTAAAATCAAAAGCAAGCACAGTGTGTTTCAGAAGTATTTATGTCATTATAACAGCAATTATGTTATGACTTTAAAAGATTGTTTAATGGCGCATCCTTGAAACACATGCATGGTGTCCCATCAAGACTGTCCAAACTTTGCACAGCCAAACTGCTCACTTAGAATACATAAAAAATGCCTAAAAAAACTACACTGGCAAGACCCATAGTTTCTGATATAAATGCTAAAGGAAAGTATGACACCATATCCAGTGCAAGCAAAAAAACTGTATCCAGAAACGTGAACATTGGTGTTTGTATATGTTTACATATGAAGATGTTCAAAATGTCTGCTGCATATATCGAGACATGTATGCGAGCACTATGAAATGACGTCAAGCCATCAATTGAATCATATTTAAAAGGCTGCATCTACTGGTCATCTTTGCATGGTGATAATGTATTCTATACATGATTGGGTGGTGATAATGTATTCTATACACCATGTCCAAGCTAGTAGGAACACCTACACTACTAGCTTGGACATGGTGGTCCAGTTTTATAGCAGCCACAATCGCCAGTTCTTCTCGTGGTGCACCCTAGTTAAAACTGAATCTCTCACAGAGTTGCTTTGTTTCCTTGTTCTTTTTCAGCATTTGAACTGTATTACTGTCAAATGAAACTAAGGGAAAGGCCTGGGAGTGTCTCACCAGTTTAAAGTCGGTTATTCCAGATATTCCTCGTCCTGTAGCCGTGGCATTTTTTTTTTTGTCTTTTGACTGGCATGATTGTCTGAATGCCCATGCCCATCTTTTTTTAATTTGGTTTAAGGATTCTTCAGTCTGTACTCTTTAAAAAAATTATATATATGACATATATATATCTGGACATCCATGGATAAGAAACATATTGACAATTATCTTTTAATTTTATTGTTCTTAAGTATTGGTAAGCAAGATCAAGAGTAATGACTTACTGGCCAAATATCTGACATTTATATAAATAAATACATAAATAAACAGTTGTCAGATCAGTCATCTTTGGATTTCTTTCTATAGGGCTGTCTGAATAAGCTAGTCTAGTGAAACCTAGTTACTACAGAAAGTGACTTAATTCTTTGTCTTCATGCTGTTACTTTAATGGACACTACACTGCAACATGTGTAATTAGCCATTTTGCGGCATGCACATGAATGCTTCAATATGTGCAGTGGACATTTTGAACGTCTTCCTATGTAAACATATGCAAATACCAATGTTCATGTTTCCAATAAAGTTTCTTTTTTCTTCCTTGCACCAGATATGATGTCATATATATAATTTTTTTAATTTATCTCGAAACCTATCAGCTATACAGGTACAGTTCTTTTGACACTTCTTCATACGCCTGTAAGAAATTATTCATATTTGTAACAACCCACTTATGCCTCGATATAAGTGGTGGACATTTGCAAATATTGATGTTCATGTTTCCAATAAAATTTTTATCTTCCTTTCACTGGATATGGTGTCATACGTTTCTTTCACATTCACTTTGAAAATTATGGATCATAAAGTTACAGTTCTTTTGTCATTTTTTACATGATAGTAAAAAATTATTGATATCTGTAACTTATGCAGAAAACATAATCTCAATTAAGCCATTAGCTCAGTAATTTGGCTTACGAATGAGCCTTATAACAAATTGTTACCAACCAGATTTTAGCAATTCAAACAGTTAATGACACAAAGTACCATGATTACACATTCCAGTTCTGCCTAAACACAAATCATGAATGTGATGCAAACTGCCTTTTTTCAGCTTTATGCCACCCAGTTATAGAAAATGCTAACTTATACCCCAGAACATTTATATGCTCATTACAACTGGATTCAGATGCACTCAGAAGCCCTTTCTAGCACCCACAAATTATACCAGTAGCTCTGAAACCGCACAAACTGTAGAATGTTGAGGTTTAAAGCAATTTTTCAAGGATTCTACAGGTAAAAATTAAAATTTGAAAGTATTTTTCAATACCATGGAAGCTACAAAACTAATTAGATAAAATAATTAAATAATAATTATAATAATTTTTTGGCTACCTAAAATAATATGAAACAGATCTGCTTTGATGGGTAAAATTATAAAGAACGGTTGCACAAAAGAAGAATATAGTTTTAGGGGTTTCCTGAATAAAAAAAATTTGAAGACCTTTGCACTATAACAATGTATTAGCATGGGAGTATTATAATAATTTGTTTACATTGTAAGCTAACCCCTAAAGCTGCCTAAAACCTTACAAACATATCTGGCTTAATTATAGAAGTATGAGATTCGGATTAACTTCCAATTCAGCTTTTGTGTGTTCTGAAGGATTAAACACACCTAAATCATGCAGAATACTAGCCCTGCAGATTATGTCACAAATGTTTGATTTTCTTACCACCACTACAAAATTAGGATTCCCCCCCCCTTAAGTAACAGATATTACAAAATTTTCTGAAAGCTGTATTTCCCTATACTTTAATTTATTTTTCGGAATTTTAATAAAATAGTTCCTTCAGTAAAATAGTCATTTGTTTCATTTTGCAAGCTATGCTAAATTTATCTTATCCTATTTTTATCAAGCATTTAACTTGTCTGTAAAAAATATTGCATACAAATAGAGATAAAACCGATATTAAATCTTACACAAGTTCGCACTGGGGCATAGTCTTGATTATTTTATCCAATTTTGGTTTTATCTGATTGAAAACTATCCCATGATAAGCATCTACAAGTTCAGCCTGTAAAAGAAACATGTCAAAGTCAAAATTCACATGAATAATAATAATACACATGCACAAAATCTACAACTATTGTGCCACATTTGGAATAGAAAAAAAAAAAAAAAAAAAAAGCTTTGAACAGAATAGCAACCTCCCTCCACCAAAAAAAAGTGTACTTTTTTAGTTTTGGAGCAATGCTAAATGGATATAATACATTTAAGTTCACATTAATACTCCTTTGAGCTGTATCATCTTTAAGTAACTAAAACTAGTACTTCACATGAAATAAGCCATACACTTCAGATGTAATTACCTTCCCTCCAAAAAATACTATATCAATGCAAATATAAATTTAAATAAAACTAAGATATTTTTCTCACCATGGAAATTTCAAGTTATTTTTTTTACATAATTGCTTAGTTGAGTACGTGTGATTTTTATTGATAAATTAACATATAATCTTTAATACACTAGTTTTGATAAATTAGAAAGAAATGACAACTGATAACAAAGAGAAAAACTAGCTAGAAGATTTAAAGAAAAAAAAAAAAAAAAAGATTAAAACATGATTGTTACCGTGTCAGCTTTAAAACAGCATAAAAACATATTTAGATGAAAAATATTTTCCCCCTTCCCAGAAATTTAACACACATGATTTTGTCCAAAACCAATACAATAAGTAAATGAATTCAGCATCAATTGTGACATTACTGTTGCCAAATCCATATTCAGGAGCACCTAGCCTTATGAATATAGTCAAAAACGATTTATCTGTTATTGATCATATAGAACCAGAAGAGAGTATAAACCTTGAGCATCAGAAGTGATAACACGACTTTTACCCAAAATAATAATAATTTTAAGCACAGCCAAGTGACAACTAAATAAAAGCACTGACAGCTTAGTGCATGAAGAAAGCTAGAGACAAGTCTGTGTATGGTCACATAGCATTGCAGAATTAATTATTACTGAGATGAATGACAACATCATAAACAATCAACTCAAAAGAAAGTGTGATCTTGTTCCTTTAAAGAGATCATATGCTTCCCATGGTATTAAAGGATTGGCTCTAAACTCTTCTCTATAACATCCTATATACACTAAACTGGATGAAGATAATGCGAATGAGTTGTCAGTCTCCTCTTAAAAGTACTATTCTACAGTTGAGCTCAATGTAGATGAATGTTATCTTTTGATAATATGAACATTGTACTTACAGAAGTTCCAAAGAAATACAATGCAAAGTACATAACATCATCTCTGTATTTTTTAACATTACAGTTTCAACTTTTCAGAATATGCATTCATATAATAAAATAACATATAGCATAAACTCTCTCTATATCCCTCCACAGCAAATGGAATGACAGCATACACATACCAGTGCCCAAATCAAACAATTCTCATAGTTCAAAACCGTGAAAAACAACCTTATATTTAGCGTAGGTATAATGAAACACTCAATCGATTTCGAGGGCAGCTAAAGGTCCCTCCTCATCAGGAGAAAGAAATACATAGAAAGAAGAAAATAGGAATCACAGAAACACGTGGTGCTTATCAGCACTGCACGTCGTCATAACTAGATTTTTAATCAGAGTTGCACTGGCCGCCTACTTTTACTGAGCCAGGCTGTCTGATCAAGCATAAAGAATATTAGCGAAGTTAAAATAGGGAGCGAGGGGCAAATGCACATTACGCTCAAAATCTGAACTTCAAATAATGGAAAGCAACCACTGAACGGATTTTTATATCCTCTGGTAGTACCAAGTGCGAGGAGGTAACGCCATCTATCGGCAAAATAATTGAATTAAGACAGTAGAATCTTAAAGGCATTAGGAAGGACTGGATTGGACTTCAAATCATCAACTTAACTAAACTTTCTAAATCTTTGTGAATGTGAAAAGCCTCAAGAAAATCCAATTCGCCTATGGAAGAAGCCTTTTGGATGATTTTTGCAGACCCAAAATCAAAATTATAGTTAAAAGTCCAGCTATGATACGCTATTGAAGACTTGTTAATTTCCCCTTTTTTGACATAAGATTCATGTTCCTTGATACGAAACTTCAACGCTCTTTTTGTTTGGCCAATATATCTTAAACCACACTGACATGATATATACTATAAATTCCCCAAGAATTCAAGACAGAAACGCAATCTTTTAGAATCGAAGGGTGAATTTTATTAATAGGGGAGAACCGACTTGAAAATTGAATTTCTGGAGAATCCGTGCAATTTTATAGCTAACAGAAGGATAAAATGGAAGCACGACAAGGTCATTGATATTATTTCTAACAGTGGAATGTCTTCTTTGATGGGAATCTGAAAAATTTTTTTGACCGCTTTATCAATAATCACGGGAGAAAATCCACGGTCAATCGCAACTGCTCTCAAATAATTAAGTTCATTGGTAAGCAAAGATTCAGAGGAACAAAACTTTTAGCGCGCGGAAAACATAATAGTAAAAAGAAGCCATTTTTTTGCTTAACAGGGTGGCATGACTTGGCATGGGATGGTAAACAAACTGCAAAGGGTTTACGGTACACAGTGGTGCTAAAATCGGTTTCATTGCGGATTATAAGAATATCGAGGAAGGGGAGGGAATTGTTGGATTCAATTTCAAGAGTGAATTGGATGGCTGGATCAATTGAATTCATAATAGATAGAATCTCGGATAAATCCTCTTTATAACCGTCAAAAAGTGCGAAAGTGTCGTCAACATACCGAATCCAAAGACGAAAAGATAATTTATCAAATAATTTCATCTCAAAATAGTGCATATAAATGTCAGCAAGTACCGGACTGAGAGGATTACCCATAGCCAATCCTTCAACTTTGACGAAACTATGCATTTTGGAAAACAAAGTGGGTTTGACTTAGAGAAACTTTAGTAAGCGAAACCAACTCATTAATTTCAGTATGTGTGGAAATGAAATTCCCGAAAGCCTAGGTTTCAAGACAATTTTAGTGCTCCTTTGACCGGAACATTAGTAAACAATGATTTGACATCAAATGAAACCATAATGGAACGAAGTGGGGAAATATTTTTAAGTTTATCAATGACTTTCAACAGAATTTTTTACAGTGTGAATATTGTTATCAAGTAGAGGAGAAAAATCTGGAAACTAAATATTTGGCCAAAGGATATGAAGCAGTACCTATGTTGGAAACAATTGGTCGAAAAGGAATACCGGTTTTGTGGACTTTTGGAAGAGCATAAGTCTAGCGCAATTAGTAATAGGCGGAATAAGTGATTTCTTCTTCAACTGAGTTGGCAGAATGTGGGAAGATTTAATAGCACTTTTTACTTTCATGAGGTCCGAAGTTGAAGGATCTTTAGGGATCGAGCAGTATGGGCCTTCAATTATCAATTTAGAGACTCCAGTAATATATGTGTGTTTGTCCATAACAACGATCTGTCCGCCCTTATCAGCTTTAGAGATAATGATATTAGTATCAGAATTAATTTCACGTAAGATCTCATTTTCCTTTTTGCTAAGATTAGAACCCAAAGATTTATTGTTAAAATTAACGTTATGAGTAATTAGGTGGCGGATTGTATCCTTCTGCGTTTCCGAAATTTTGGAGAATTTAAAGGCTTTCTCTATAGGGGCGATGATTTGAGGAATTGAAGGTTTAGATGTCTTTGAAAAGTTGAAATTATATTTTAATACTTTTAACTGATCCTCCGAAAGATTCCTATTGGAGATATTAACGATGGAGTTAACGTTTACAGTGGGAAGATCAGCTAGATAATTGGGACTATCCGACTGGTGTGTGAGTTTTTGGAATTTAGAAATGAGCACATTTTTATGCCGTTGACAAACGGTATCGGTTCTAGACCAGAGCACAGACCAGATTTAGAATGAGCACATTTTTATGCCGTTTGTCAACGGCATAAAAATGTGCTCATTTCTAAATTCCAAAAACTCACACACCAGTCGGATAGTCCCAATTATCTAGCTGATCTTCCCACTGTAAACGTTAACTCCATCGTTAATATCTCCAATAGGAATCTTTCGGAGGATCAGTTAAAAGTATTAAAATATAATTTCAACTTTTCAAAGACATCTAAACCTTCAATTCCTCAAATCATCGCCCCTATAGAGAAAGCCTTTAAATTCTCCAAAATTTCGGAAACGCAGAAGGATACAATCCGCCACCTAATTACTCATAACGTTAATTTTAACAATAAATCTTTGGGTTCTAATCTTAGCAAAAAGGAAAATGAGATCTTACGTGAAATTAATTCTGATACTAATATCATTATCTCTAAAGCTGATAAGGGCGGACAGATCGTTGTTATGGACAAACACACATATATTACTGGAGTCTCTAAATTGATAATTGAAGGCCCATACTGCTCGATCCCTAAAGATCCTTCAACTTCGGACCTCATGAAAGTAAAAAGTGCTATTAAATCTTCCCACATTCTGCCAACTCAGTTGAAGAAATCACTTATTCCGCCTATTACTAATTGCGCTAGACTTTATGCTCTTCCAAAAGTCCACAAAACCGGTATTCCTTTTCGACCAATTGTTTCCAACATAGGTACTGCTTCATATCCTTTGGCCAAATATTTAGTTTCCAGATTTTCTCCTCTACTTGATAACAATATTCACACTGTAAAAATTCTGTTGAAGTCATTGATAAACTTAAAAATATTTCCCCACTTCGTTCCATTATGGTTTCATTTGATGTCAAATCATTGTTTACTAATGTTCCGGTCAAAGGAGCACTAAATTGTCTTGAAACTAGGCTTCGGGAATTTCACTTCACACATACTGAAATTAATGAGTTGGTTTCGCTTACTAAAGTTTCTCTAAGTCAAACCCACTTTGTTTTCCAAAATGCATATTTTCGTCAAGTTGAAGGATTGGCTATGGGTAATCCTCTCAGTCCGGTACTTGCTGACATTTATATGCACTATTTTGAGATGAAATTATTTGATAAATTATCTTTTCGTCTTTGGATTCGGTATGTTTTGACGACACTTTCGCACTTTTTGACGGTTATAAAGAGGATTTATCCGAGATTCTATCTATTATGAATTCAATTGATCCAGCCATCCAATTCACTCTTGAAATTGAATCCAACAATTCCCTCCCCTTCCTCGATATTCTTATAATCCGCAATGAAACCGATTTTAGCACCACTGTGTACCGTAAACCCTTTGCAGTTTGTTTACCACCCCATGCCAAGTCATGCCACCCTGTTAAGCAAAAAATGGCCTCTTTTTACTATTATGTTTCCGCGCGCTAAAAGTTTGTTCCTCTGAATCTTTGCTTACCAATGAACTTAATTATTTGAGAGCAGTTGCGATTGACCGTGGATTTTCTCCCGTGATTATTGATAAAGCGGTCAAAAATTTTTCAGATTCCCATCAAAGAAGACATTCCACTGTTAGAAATAATATCAATGACCTTGTCGTGCTTCCATTTTATCCTTCTGTTAGCTATAAAATTGCACGGATTCTCCAGAAATTCAATTTTCAAGTCGGTTTCTCCCCTATTAATAAAATTCACCCTTCGATTCTAAAAGATTGCGTTTCTGTCTTGAATTCTTGGGGAATTTATAGTATATCATGTCAGTGTGGTTTAAGATATATTGGCCAAACAAAAAAGCGTTGAAGTTTCGTATCAAGGAACATGAATCTTATGTCAAAAAGGGGAAATTAACAAGTCTTCAATAGCGTATCATAGCTGGACTTTTAACCATAATTTTGATTTTGGGTCTGCAAAAATCATCCAAAAGGCTTCTTCCATAGGCGAATTGGATTTTCTGAGGCTTTTCACATTCACAAAAGATTTAGAAAGTTTAGTTAATGATTTGAAGTCCAATCCAGTCCTTCCTAATGCCTTTAAAATTCTACTGTCTTAATTCAATTATTTTTGCCGATAGATGGCGTTACCTCCTCGCACTTGGTACTACCAGAGGATATAAAAATCCGTTCAGTGGTTGCTTTCCATTATTTGAAGTTCAGATTTTGAGCGTAATGTGCATTTGCCCCTCGCTCCCTATTTTAACTTCGCTAATATTTCTTTATGCTTGATCAGACAGCCTGGCTCAGTAAAAGTAGGCGGCCAGTGCAACTCTGATTAAAAATCTAGTTATGACGACGTGCAGTGCTGATAAGCACCACGTGTTTCTGTGATTCCTATTTTCTTCTTTCTATGTATTTCTTTCTCCTGATGAGGAGGGACCTTTAGCTGCCCTCGAAATCGATTGAGTGTTTCATTATACCTACGCTAAATATAAGGTTGTTTTTCACGGTTTTGATTGTCACATTAGCGTGTTTCTCTTCTAGTCTAATTCTCATAGTTATCGTAAATACAATATCTGGACTTACTTATTAAGAGTACTGACCTCCAGTCATATTCAATTAAGTTTAAATACTTGCATACCCAATTCAACAATTCTCTTCTGTAAGCAGCATGCAAATAAGGGCCGGCCTAGTATTGTGGATTAAATAAAACTAGAAAATGCTTCGGTAGATTTTTTTTCAAATTAAAAATTTTTTAATCATTTGATGATTTATTTATTTAAACTACATCAAAGCCTATAAAACAGAATGATTATTTAATTCTTCAGTTCTTTAAAATTTTAATTGAACATTATATTGCTAAATATTTTAATGAATCTCATGCAACATTTGATGCAATAACCATTTGATACAGTAACTTTTTTTAGTGAGTCCTATAGATTTTTTAATGCAAGTTGAATGTATATATCAAAATAAAATAGAATTATTTACAACAGGGTTGCCACTCAAACAGAAGAAAGAAATTCCTTGACTTTTCAGGTTTTCCAAGTGTGTTTTAAGAAAATTCTAGTCTCTCCACGCAGTATGCGTTGGCTGTGCTGAGAGGTAAATTAATTATGGCACCATTTGAAAACACAAAAATTTGCCAATTACACATGACTTACACACACAAACATATATATATATATATATATATATCCATCCCCAAAGCATTACTATTATAACTATATTAGGAAGATTGAGATTAGAATCTGCCCAATCTGAATTAAAAAAATATCTTTTTTTGCAGATATTTTGCAGCTAAACTTAAGAAAGAAATCTATTTAATGGTATTTTTAAATAAATTCAGGTATTTTTTATTTATTTAGCAGCATACATAAGCAAAAATATGTGCATTAAATTTTGTGAGAGTATGTCATCATACTGCTAGAATAAGTTTCAGGATTACGCCAGAAAAATTGCCTGAAATTTGAAAGTATTATTAACTAATAATAAATATATTTAAAGAGATGAAGCAACATTAAAATAAAGTTACTTACTTAAAAATTGAATAACAATAATCAACAATATTTTGGCGAATATAGTTATATTAAATGGTTAGCCTAGATGATTAATTACTATTTTTTTAATTTACTGTAAAATGACAAATAAGACAGTTATTAAAAAGAAAAGAAAAAAAGATGTTCAAAAGATTTTGCAGTAAAATCCTAGTATACGCTACGGCCTTGGCACGATTTTGAAAATAGTTGCCAACACCAGAATGACCCGTTCACAGCTCATTATAATATCGCCTAATCCCGTGTGTACCGTACACTAATCAATTCGGTGTGTTAAACCGATTTTGTTTTATACAAGAATGGGAAGATATTTTTTTTCTTTCAACATGCACATGTGCATGTGAATCTCTCGATTCTAGAGTTTACTGGAAACTTGCTTTACCTTTGTAAAAGATAATTTGATTAGAGCTGTGAAAACTGGCTGTATGCCATCTGCCTAGAATGACGTTCACATGATACATAATTTGCCAAGAAAGTTATTGCTTCCAACGTTGTCGTAAAAAATCGCTCTTTGAGGGGGGGGTCACCACATGAGATTCCTTGACTTTTCCAGATTTTGATTAAAATATTTAAATTCCTTGACTTTTTTGGTCAGTATTCAAATTCCCTGACTTTTCCCGTTTTACAGGTAACCCTGTTACACATATATAATATTATAACTACTTGCATTCTTTTATTGCAGATTACATATTTTTTTTTTCCTTACAGCATCATTAAAATAGAAGCTTTCATCTTGCCTCATATGTTCATAGAATTCTTTCACAGGCATACACAATTCCATAGATTCAATCACCTGTAAATATTTAGAAAATGATACAGAATTTTAATCCATTATTAGAGTTAAAAATACAAATATCAATAGTATAATTCTGATTTAGAAGCAAAAGCTTACGTTAAAAGAATGATAACTTGATTTTACTAATTCAACAACAAGTATTTTTTCTTAAAGTATAACAGTTAAAAAAAGGGGTGACAAGTAAAATCAAACTATATTACTATAGCTTAATTTTACTTGTTCAAATAATATTAACTATTTATATATCATGCACTACATGTTACATCTCTTTATGTCTATTTTAACAATACTTTCAATGCCACCTATTTTTCTACATTATTCTTTTCTCATTATTATTTACAATGTTGTTTTCCCCATATACACAATAATCCATTTTCACTTTAAAAAAATCAGATAGTTGTACAAACTTGGTAATCAAAATTTATTTTTTTACTAAGTGTATTCATTTAAAAAAATATAATAATAAATTTGATTTTTTGTTTTATATAGAGATGAATGATGAAAAAAAGCACTGCCTTTGATCCAACATGGTGCTCAAGACATGTGTGAAGAGCTACAATTTTTCCTGAAATATGTATACCACTAAATATTACCACATTTATCCTAATGATTATCCATGATTATGAAACTTACGATGAGAAGGGAAAAAGAGGCAGATGATGCCTTTAAGTGAGCCCCATTACATTTTTGAATGCAGAAAGCTAAGTCAGAGATTTCACTGAAGATGACAAAAACTGCAGTATGCAGTTCATTGCTATGCTAACACTGAAATTCTCATAGAAAGGATCATAATCTGCAGTCACACTGGCAAAAATATCTTAAAACTGGAGAGCCATCAGAAGAGGGGCCTATGTGCATATTTAGGTTGCCACATAAATACTTTCTGACAGAGTTTTGCCTTATTGATAATATTTTGTGGCTTTTCAGTGGATGTGCATATAATAAGAAATTACTTTAATATGTATAACTTAAGTGCCAAATCATTACGTTGCACCTGTGTCAATAACTGCAGCTTTCAAGAAGGCATTTAGTCTATGAAGTGTTAATCCTTACAAGGTTAAACCAAGATTCCCCCTTCAGGAAACTGAAATCTAGCCTGACGCACAATTGCTAAAATTAACAACAAGTATGTTACTGTTTGACTGCAGGCATTTCAATATATGAAAAGAAGGGGTCAAAATTTTCAAGCAGACATGTGGTTATTTTTTAACATTTTAGTATATTGTCAATAAATAATAGTATAAAAAGCGTTCAGAAGAAAGAAAAGAAATACTGTTAATAATATTAAATGTAATACAATAGTTTATGAAAACATGCTCAAATCAATACCCTTTCTATATCAGCTGAAATTCTGGCAACTTCTCTCAAGCCCATTTCATGAACTTCTTCTGGTGTCATATGAAAACCAAGATGAAACTCAAGACACATCTGGTAATATTCTTTTCCATTTGGAATCGATGATATTCCAACATTTGGCCGCAAACAGCTGAAATATTCCTGTACATAAAATTTTTTTAATGCTACCATTAAAACAAGATTCAAATATAATCATGCATAAATAAGATAATATTTTAGTAATATACATACATATTCCAGGAAAAATTGTAATTCTCCAAACATTCCTTGAACTCCATGTTGAATCAAAGGCAATGCCTCTTTTCTTAATTCATCTCTATATAAAATAAAAGATCAAATTCATTTTTAAGAAAAAACAATTAATATACTCGGTTAAAAAAAATTTGCTAATTGTACATGTGAAGTGCTTACGATACAGGTATTTCCCACTTCATGACATTTCATTTTTACAAAAGATACCCAAAGAGGTTTTTCACTGGTATGAAAAATAAATGAACAAAATGTTGTTTGGCATTTGCTTTTAGTGGTGAATAACAAAGATTTGAATTGTAATAGAGTACACAGGTTTAGGGCACTTTTGCAGGCTGCTTCTATTTATTTTGGACAAGAGAGAAAATTACCAATCTAAGCAGTTCAAGCATCTCTTATATTTCATGCTTCTCACATCCTCTACAGCTGATAATAAACCTGAACTTTTAATGCTGGAGTAAACCCCCTGGGAAAAAACAAAGAAAAAAGAAAAGAAAAAGGTAAAGAAAGGAAGAAATCAGATTTTTAACATAGCACTAGAGGTTTGTTAAGGTTTTTTATGCTCACTTTGAGATTGCAGCTTACCAACCTGTTCTCAAACTCACTACCGCCAACACAAAAATAACTTTACAATCAGACAGTGCTTTCTTTACATTTAACCTACATAAAATTTAACAGTAAAATCACATAATTTTTAAAATCAGTAAAATTTACGATTTCTGACAGAGTGTTCAATGATGCCACACATTTTCTATTTTTTCAATCTTTACTCAATTTATAATATCAATGTTCTGTTTTCTTAGCAAGATGGCCTACACAACTATGTATTTTTACCTTTATTATTAAATGTCACATTTTTGCACTTACACCAATTAAAATTCAACAGCAAAATTATAAAATTTTTTAAAAAAGTATATGTTTAAAATTCTCGATACAGTGTTAAGTATTACCATTATTTTTTTCAAGATTTTTCTCAGTTCATCATACCAATGTTTAGTTTTCTTCTTCATAAGATGGCCTGTCTTTTTAACTATATTTATTAAACATCACTTCATTCACTTACAGCATATGAAATTCAACATCAAAATCACAAGATATTCAAAAACAGCATATCTTTAGAATTCACAATAGAGTGTTAAGTGTTTCCATACATTTTTTTGTTTACATTTGCCATGTTATTTTTGTTAAATAATAAACAGCAATAACATTTTGGGCAACATCCTTTCAGACACAAAAGTAAAGATCAAGATTAATAGCACCTCTGACACTAAAAAGATAAATGCAGGGGTCTGATAAATATAAACAATGAATCTCTTTCTTTGATAATCTGATCTACATTCCCTACTGCAAGATCTAGGTTGATTCATCTTATTGCACCACCCTCTCTGCTAGCCCATCTCACCCTCCAAAAATATGCTCGCTATCTACTTAATTCTGGAGGGTGAAAATATACCACTACATATGCTATTTTATTTATTTGAGCCATGCGTTTATCATACTATACTTGCTTTCAGTAGCATTTTAAGTTTTAGATTTTCTCCCTTCTAAGGATTTTAATACTCCACATAAATTAGTAACAGTTGCTTCTTACTACTACTTCAGTCACATAAGAATACTTTACTTCTGTATTGCAGGTCAGAACTGCATATAAGAATTTACCACTTCTTATACAGTATAGGCCAAAATTGCATATAAAAAATTATCATTTCTTAAACAGTATAAGCTAAAATTGCATATTAAAAATTAACATTTCTTATATAGTATATGTCAGAAGTCATGAAGGGATTGCAATACTGAATACATAAAAATGTAGTTTAATTACTTTCTTGTCTCTCAAGACTTTATAAGCTAAATACCTGGAAAATCAAGGATGCAAATATTTACAATTCTGCAATAAATGAAAACAGCTGAACCTTTTTAAAAAAGCTAGAAGTTGATTATCTTGATATAAAGATTGTGCTGTCACTTCAGTGTCCGAAATGCATCATGAAAATCAATGATTAGTTGCCTGTTTGGAAATTTCAAGAGCAAGATGTGGTAACTGATTTTTCACAACCAGGAAAGACCATGTTTTCAACCCAAAGCAGGACAAAATTGATTATGTATGAAAGTGTCCAAGAAGTAGCAAAAACATTCACAAGAAAACAGCTTGGGCAATTAGTGTTGCATTAAACAACAGTGATTGATTTGACAACATTGGAATTTTGGTAAAATACCTCAAAAAACAAATGTACGCCACTACAAATACTCCAACAACTCAAGGAAAACATCAGTGCAGAAATCCAAGCAGTAACACTGGCAACATTAATATGTACCATAATTAGCATCATGGCTAGAACTAACTCGATATGTGCAGTGGTGCAGTATGACCTTAACAGTGGTGGTGTTGGTGGTGGTAGATTTTCTTGGCAAAAAACCTAAAAGGTTATATGTGCCAGACATATGGTATAGATATCTGCTTTTATTTGTACAGTACAGAGACAGCTAAAATGAGTGCAAACTTAATAATGGTGAATGGATATATGAAATAATTTTTTTAAACACAGGGGAAAGATACCTTGCTTACATGATGTGATAATTCAAATACCGTATTTGACAGCATATAAAACACACTGGCATATAAGACGCACCCTTATTTAGAAGGCCACACACAAGGGAAAAAAGTTTCAATAGTCCACAATAACTTAAAATGTGGTTACTTTTAGTTCTCACGTTTCGTTATAAGCCAAATAAACAATCATTGAATGCAATTACCAAACATATTTTTATTAAGGAAAATTAACAAACGGCAAGCTATTTTGAACATGATATGTAAATTTCAATAATGAATAAATGAATGAATGGCAAGCAATCAAACATAATACAAAATAAAGCAGAAACAACAAAAAACACAGATTCAAGGAAAATGTTGCCTATCATGAAATTAGACTTTAATCACTTTCAAAAACCATAGAAATCCTTTTCACTATCATCATCATCGAAAACGAGAATATCGTCATCACTACTGTTTCCGCCATCGCTAGTATCACCTTCTTCGAATAATGCGTCGTCTTCTGTTCCGTCAAGAGTATTACTGATTCCGCACTTCTTAAAGGACTTAACAATTACTTCAGCCTTTACGTCCTCCCAACATCTTTTTACCCACTCCTACACTTGTGAAATAGAGGCCTGCTTCATTCTACCTGAGGGTGTGAAGGCGTGATGTGGCTCTCCTATCCACTTGTTCCATTGTTCTCGCAATTTTTCCTTAAATGGCTTATTCACCGATACATCTAAAGGCTGCAGTTGGCTAATCAGTCCACCAGGAATGACAGATATCTGGGTTTTTAATTATCTCGCTTTATTCTTTATGGTTTCAGTTCTATGGACGCTAAACTGATCCAAAACCAATAGAGAGCGTTTTCTTAAGAGTCCACCAGGTCACCTTGTCCATACGTTCTGTAACCACAGTTTCATTCCAGCTTCGTCCATCCAGCCTTTCAGATGAACATGAACAATTACACCCATTGGAAGTTTTTCTTTCGGATGAGATTTTCTTCTGAATATGAAAAACGGAGGTAGTTTTGTGCCATCAGCACAACATGTTAGAACTACCGTATATCGGGTTTTTTCATGACCTGTGGTTTTTATGGTTATTGATTAAACCCTTTAATACTCACAGTCTTGTTAGATGGTACATCAAATGTGAGTGGAATTTCATCCATATTTCCTATTTGACGGAGCTCAAAAGAAGTTTTCTTGCGTGCATTTATAACAAACCTATGAAATGCTAGTATTTTTTCTTCGTAATCTGCTGGCCATTTTCTGTGCAATAGTTGTTTTGTGCAGCATTGAATAAGCCTTACCTTTTTCATGAACCTGTAGCACCAGCCCTCAGAATCCTGAAAAGTTTTGATTCCCCCGTTTTTCTGCAAATCCTTTGGCCACATTGATTGTCATTTTGGTTGAAACACTTATCCCAGATTTCCTCTTATCTATCACCCACATTTTTACGGCATTTTCAAGTTCGGGCCAAGATGGAGCTGGGCATCGAAGGTTATGTTTTTGTTTTTTAGTACTCTTCAGTTGATTTTCCTGCAGTCGCCAAGTACGTATCATTTTTTCGGTAGGTGGTGGACCAAAATGCCTTGCTGCTGCTCTGTTTCCATATGCTTTGGCATAGTTTAACATTCCTAGTTTATACTAAATTGTATAGCTTAATCTCGTTTCCTGTAGTCATATTTTTTACGGTATTTTTTTAAAACAAATAGTTTTACGCACCGATACTGACACGTGTATCGGCTGAGTTAAAGAAAGTCTATGTAAAGAAGGAAAGACTCCATAGATGTAATGTGACCGTCAAACCTGTTCGTACTTTGACATCAGCTTCGAGCTTTGGCGCTTTTTGGCGACAGATATTTCACGCATGCGCAAAATAATTATGGCAGATGTAGAAAAAGTTATGTGTGTCTAAACCTTTATTCGGCCTAAAAATAGCTGTGTCCTTCACGTATAAGACGCAGGTAACCTTTTTGAGACCAAATTTAGGAAAAAAAGTGCGTCTTATATGCTGTCAAATATGGTAATTCAACATATACTACTATCACATGCTAAACTGATGCTATAGAAAGTTTTTTGGCTCATGCAGTATATATGAAATACAGGGTGTTTATAAAGTCCTGGACCCATTTTGATGTTTAATAACTCATAAAATAATGAAGATATAAACAAACTTATGGCATTTATTGATGGAATAACTTATATATTTCCTTTTCAGGTTTGAATATCTTTCCTGTCGCAAATATCGTCTGTGCGTGTGGTTAATTTCAGATAATTTCCTTTTCCAGTCTAAATATTTGTACTTTTCTAAATATCGTCTGCTTATTAATTGCATTTTTCTCTCTTTTGTTTTTGGCACCTTTCTGGCATTGTTAATCACCATAATGTGCGCATATGGGGATCTGAAACCCCCCATGAATACCGTTAGGCACAAAGGGATTCCCCAAAGGTTAATGTGTGGTGTGGACTAATGCACGACCAAGTCATTGGGCCTTTCTTTTTTACAGAAAAGATGGTCTCATCAGTCGTATACTTAGACATGTTGGAAAACTTCGTATTTCCACAACTAGAACAGCTTCAGCCACATGTCTTTTTGCAACAAGATGGTGCACCACCTCATTGGGGTACCATCGTTCGTAGTTCTTTGAATAACCAATTTACAGAAAGACGGATTGGGCGAGGAGGTCCAATTCCTTGGCCACCCAGATCACCTGGTATAACGCCGCTGGACTTTTCCCTTTAGGGATTTGTAAAGGACAAAGTTTACAGGAGGAGAGTGTCGAACATTGATGACCTAAAAGCCAGAATTACAACCGCAATAGCCTCTGTGGATGTCGACATGCTTGCCTGTACCTAGTGTGAAATTGAATATCAACTTGATATTCTCCGTGCGATGAAGGGGACACACGTGGAAGTTCACTGACTAGGGTCATGAAACTTTTTGAGTCTATCTAACCATTTATGTTATTAATTTTATCTATCTTTATTATTTTATGAGTTATTAAACATCAAAATGGGTCCGGAACTTTATAAACACATCGTATATCACATATTATGCAATATTTGATGTAAATACCTTCACTGGATATAAATTCTGTCTTGCATTAACTTGGCTAGCTATTTAAATTTTATAAAAGAACTATTACTCAAACATCAGAAAGCATGTATAAAATTAGTCTAAATCTATTTTAACTGTCAAGTACATGAAACATTATTCCAATATTCTTTGGTCTGGTCTACAACATGATGGCTAGATGAAATCAAAATAATTTTAAAAGAAGGAAACGGAAGAAAAGAAAGCATTTTTAATAACTTTCACTTTCAGATTTCTTTAATTTCAAACACGTTTTCAGTAAATCCATATTAAACATTCTAGTAAACTTAATATGCCAATATTATACTAATATTGTTGCGTGCGTACGGGTTCGTTATGAAATGAATGCACAAGTCCGATGAAAAATGAACAAAAATTTATTATTATCACAATAAAAATGCTTTAAGTTTCCTCAGATATTCGTGCAGTATTACAATATCTCGCAGTAGCTATCTTTTAACTACTCAAACGTTCAAGAGAACTTAATTCAAAACAGCTAAAGAAAGCTAGTCAACAAGAGCAGTTTTCTAAACAAACTCTAAAAACAACAACAAACTAACTAACAACTGAAATGAAAGGTTTTCTTCCTTTTCATAAGATTTTAAATCGCGCAAAAGAAATTTCTGGAATTTTCTCAAAAGCAAAAAGAGATATTTATTTATCAAATGTTAAATGCATGTGCTCTTGTATTTTTTACTTTCAAGCTTAGCTTTCTTTTAAATATTCATCACGCGCTGCACTGCACGGGGAATAAAAAATTTAATTTATAATTCAACTAACATTAGCTATTTACATACCAAATCCGTAACAATATTAATCATTTTATTGTATACATGATCATAAAGAAATATAACAGCACTTGTAATACAAAAATTTAAAAAAAAAAGAAAGAAATTTTAAAAAAGAGAATAATAATAATATGAGAACTCACAATAAATTATTACTGATGATTCAACATTTGAGACAGAATTAAAGTATAAATGGTATTATTTCAGAAATCAGTATTAATAATTTTAATTACTATATTTCAATAAAATTACCATAATTCAAACTAGTAATTTTATCACTTTCTAAAGACAGCAATTCAAAATCATTTCTTTGAATATGCAATTATAATGCAAGAGAACAGAATTTTCAGATCTAACCATATGTAACGTTGTTTTTTGAAGTAGGTTTTCAAGAAAGAAAAACTAAAAAATAAGACTCATTTATTCAACTATGCATTTCTCACTGAATCAATAACTTTCTTCCAGATTTCTAATAATTTTTCATGCCCTTCCTAAAGAAATAAGCCAGTTTATTGGTGAAAAATTTTTGAAAATCTGTTTCAAATACCTCAAGTGAGCTGTATCTTTTCGATCCATGAAATTTTGCAAGCTTTGAGCCACATGTCACTTCTTATCGCCATGTATACTAGACAGTTAAAAAAAAGTAGAATGTTTTCATATGAATGAAAAGCAGCATAGATATTTACATGTTCTCTTTCAATTAGTATCACTAAGTTCATGCAGAACTAACTAGCCAAGCACAGAAAAGCTTTCAACTTCCTACAAATGGTGATGCAGAGTTAATGATGATGAATTAACCTTTTCTGTCAACTCTTAACAGTTGCATATGGATTTCATTTTGTTACAGCATGTTGATTACAGCATTTTGTTACAGCATGTTTTTTTAATGATATGCTGAAGCATATCATTAAAAAAGAGAGAGAGAGACAGATAGGGTATCTGTACAGCTGGCATCCTTTAAGATAAAATGCTTTTATTACGATTTAGAGAACCATCATGGGCATTTGCAAACACCCCTACCATATACATCATTCCCAATTTTTACAGTATTTGCTGTAAACATGTTAAAACCATGTCCTCAGATGACCTAATAAATTATAACTGAATATGATGTTCGTTTCTGAATACTGTTATAATGCAAACATACAAAAAGCTGAACTAAGTCCAGTATCAACAACATAGGCTCTAAATCTGTTAAGACAGTGAACAATCTAATCAAACTTTATCATTAATGTCTACTGTGAAAACAATTCCCATGGTTAAAAGCATTAACGCAAACTTAGGACTAAGATGGAAGAGTCAGAATAGACTATAAAAATGCTTTCTCATATAGCTTACTTTTCAGATAGCCTTAGTTTGATAATATATGTCTGATAATACATCGTGTTTCAAAAAGAATATATGTATTACAAAGAGTTATTTTGTCCAAACTATCAACCACTGTGCCTTGGCTCAGCTATTGGCGAAACAAATACATAGTTTAGTTTATATTAATAGCCACTAGATGTTAGCTGTCTTCTGTTTTGCGTGGTAACCGTCGCATGTTTAAAATGGCTACTCCACAGCAGAAATCATTTTGTGTTCTCGAGTTTGCGAAGTGCGTGATAGTGTTCCCGACGAAAATGTTGCCCGGATTCAAACTGCTTTCCAACGTACTCCTTCAAAATCAAATCGTCATGCCAGCCGGGAGTTATAACTACCTACAACAACAGTTTGGCATGTTTTTGAGACATGTGGTTGGTTATGAAGCCATACAAGTTACATTTGTCACAGACTCTGCGTCCTGATGACAAACGCAAATGAGTGGCATTTTGTAACGAGATTTTTGATGCTACTGACAATGATATCACTTTTGCACAATGCATCATGTTCAGTGATGAAGCGACTTTTCATGTTAGTGGTCATGAAAACAAGCACAATGTTTGAATTTGGGGTCTACAGAACCCACATGCAGCCATTGAACACGCACGAGATTTGCCCCAAATCAATGTGTTTTGTGCGATATCCCGATCATCTGTTTACGACCCATTCTTCTTTGATGGAAACATGGTTAATGATCAGCAGTATCTGTCTATGTTATAAAAGTGGTTGTTTCCGAGGCTGAACGAAGACAACTTCATTTTTCAACAAGATCGGGCACCCTCTCACTGGTGTCGCTAAGTGCGTAATTATCTGAATGAATTTCTACCGAACCGTTAGATTGGTCGTCAAGGAGCTGGCGACTTAGCATGTCTCAGCTGGCCTCCACGGTCACCGGATTTGACAACCTGTGATTTATTCCTGTAGGTTTTCATTAAAGACAATGTTCATGTGCCACCACTCCCACATAACCTGGAAGAGGTGAAGAACTGGATACGTACTGTCATAATATCAGTGACGACGACATGCTTACTCGAGTATGGGAGGAATTTGAGTATCGATGTGATACTGTTTGTGTCGCTGATGGAGGATATACTGTATATCTGTAACATCTGTAATCTAAACTCGACAGGTTCGTACATATGTGTGTAAAGTTTCATATTCGCATGTCATACAGTTTAATAAATATATGCATTTGAAATACGTATATTCTTTTTGAAACACACTGTATAAATTATGTATAACACTTTTGCCATACAGTGTGTATTTGAAACACACTGTACGGCAAAAGAGAGTGTGCACAAGTCAGCTGAAATAGTCGGAAATTCTTTGTTTGAGTACTACATAATAAGCGGATTAAAGCTCACAGCAATGCGGAATACTACAGGGAAAGAGTGACGTCAGTGCAGAAGCGAAGAGGTTGCCTTTTAATTCAAATTAGAAATTTAAAGTCTATTTTCTTTTATATTACACACACACACACACACACACACATATATATATAGTACAGACAAACAAGAAGAAAAAGCTTCAAATTAGTGAATTTAAAAATTTATGTATTATGACTAAAAAGTAAAATCCTGCATTATTGCTGCAAAGATAATATTCAATTCAAAAAAGTAATAGTGAACATAAAGGAAATTATCTCCTAGGAAGTTCAAAGTGAAATTTAGAAAGCAAATGTGCATAATAATTAATTGGAACTTATATATAAATACACCAGAACCGTCAATATAGCATTTTACACAAAACTGCAAAAGAGAACAATTGTTTTCAGTCTATTACAGCGACTTCCATGAATTTTCATCATATAATGGGGGGAAATATTTAAAAAAAAATTAGTAGATAGATAACAAATTTTAAAAACTTGGTTTATTGATTAATTTTTGGGACAAATACTTGGTTAAAACATAAAATATGTATGTGATAGTTTTTTTTTATAATCATTAGGCATAACCCCCCCCTTTTTTCCTTCTGTAAAAGAAACACTACACTGTGATAAAATGGCTGTGTTAAATATAAATACCAGTTTAATTTTTTGCCTGCATGAATATCAATAGGGAAAATTATTAAAGAAAAAAGTTCTTTTATGCATCTCTACAAGTATGGGGGAACAAGGCATGTAAGCTTATTGAAAATAAATTTAGAAAATACAAGAAAAAGAAAACATACTTCCGTTGTTCAGATATGGTATCAGGCATTGACAATAACGGCTTATAAAAAATACTGTTTTCAGGTGCATCTTCTTGAAGACGTTTCATTTGGTCAATTACACCTTCCTTTAAATACATTAAAAAAATTATCATATTAAGAACAGTATGTAAAATGCTAATGTTATTTAAGAAAAATGTATAGATTTAATTACTTGCCATTGACACAGGATGGTAAGTCATCCCAGTTCTCATTCCTTCTTGCATTACCTGTATCATATCCAAAAACTGAAAGGGAAAAAATATGCTTAAAAAAGGTGCACAAATAAACTGAATCTTAATTTTGCAAGCTCAATGAAGACCAAATACTTTGTTACATTTTACAAGTTTTATAATAACTGAATTTTTAATGAAATTTTCTTTAAGAACTGAATAATGTTAGCAGCAATAAGAAAATTACAAGTCCTATAAATTAATGCTGTGGAAAAATTTAAAACAGTTGCTACCTTCAGTTTTATTTTTTACATTACATCTAATTACACACACATTATACAGAATTATTTTCCATTTAATACAAAGAAATTATAAATTTAAAATAAGTGTTTTTGCATATAAACCATTCAACAAGATTGTCTTTTATCAATTATCCTAATCCTTCTAATTATTAATAAAGGTCCACAGCTAAAGCTGCCAAGTTTCATGAAAATTATACTTAAGCACAACAATGTTTATTAATCTTGTTTGAATGTATTTGTTTAACTGACTGCAATTAGAATGTAAAGGCAGAAAACTTCCACACTTCTGTTTAAAAATATATAATATATGATCAATAAATAGTAATATACATGAAAACAGAAAAGAATATAAATGTATACATGCAAAGATTTTGCTTTAAGCAAAAATTAATTTAAAATCTTCTCAATCAAATCACTACCTCCATAAGCTATTTTTAAATTTCCAATTTCAATTTAATGGCACTCTTATGAGCCCCAACGAAGACATAGATTTTGTTAATTATATAGTGTCTGCGACTGCTCTCTACAAAGGTTGGGGAAAGAGGGATAGGAGACCTTCAGATCCCTCCTCAGTGGTGTTTTTCAACCAAATTGAGGAACAGATTTCACTTTCTCATAAGTGTAATTTAGTCACCCATAGAATACACCATCAGCAACATTTTGGAAAATGAGACAGAAAAACGAGCTATAGGTTTTGGCCATTTGTGACATTTAATTGCAAGATATGATTTAGAGAACTGGAAGATGATGGTCTGTTGATATGATTTACAGTAATAATATCACCAGTCAGATTAACCCACGAAGACGCGCGCTACTTTTAGCTACGCGAGGACGCATGTCGGGCTCCATAGGCTTGAAGCATTTTTCTTAACAAAACAAAAATAAAATTGCTTGTGTAATTGAAGAAAACATTTAAATAATAAAAACAGAGTGTATAAAATATAAATATATACCTTTAATTTAATAAGTCTAATAAAATTCTATTTTAAAACAATTTAAAGACTGAAATTATTTATCATTAACAAAAATTAAACTGATTTCTTTTTGAGTGCAAATAAAATTTAGTACTAATTTACGCAATATTAAATTTTTACACCAATAATTTCAAAATAAAACTTACATTTGACATTTCACTTTTTTTTTTTTTTTTTTTTTTTTTCAAATAATCATGTTGTGTTTATCACAAACATTTTTCTCGCACAAAGCGCAGCAAATTTGTGATTTTCGGTCCGTTACGCCAAGACTGTAAACTTTTTTGCAATTTTCAATGAACTTTTCAAAGGCATATCTTATCGAAGCCAGTTTATTTATTTCCCTTCTAGAAAAGCGATCTCTTATGTCATCAAATCTCAAACATCTCATTAAAAATAAAAAAAAAAGTTTGTTAGACATTGTTCTATGAAAAATGTCAGGCACTGTTTTGTCAGTCACCCAAAGGTCGAGAACATTTATGTGAGAAACCTTGTGGAGTCTTTCAAAATAAAGAAGACTGATAAGTGCTCTGATTTCTGTAATATTTGTGGATCGAGAATCTCTCTATCTTTCAAATTTGATGGCAATGGATTCGATATAAATGTTTGCGCAATCTACTAGAATCTTTACTATTATTTTATCCATAAGCAGTTGCCAAGAATTCATAGGGGAAAACACAAATTTTGCTTCACAAACATTTCCGGCAATTTTCTCACAATGCTGTGAGCAAGAGTTCTCACAGCAAGTCTTGGTTCTTTTTTATTCCATTTTGTCACATTATATTTGCCAAGATAACAATTCGCTGATGGACACAAAATTACTTAATTAACTGCTAGATTTATCGCTTGATTGCCTCTTCAGAATTCGATTGGTGATCACTAAACTGTTCTTCACCAACTATTTTTTCGTCATCTTCATTAATTGCATCTTCATCAGTCGACACTTCGGCTAATAGTTTCTGTAGTCTTTTCTCTCTGTTTATTTCATCCTCATTGCTCAAATAGCGCAACCTTTTTGCAACTGCCTGATCTCTTTCTCAATTTTAAATGACAATGTGAGCGAGCGCTTTGGGTCTGGGAAGCCCATTTACTCAGTTTCTGATACAAGATGAAGGGTGAAATTCTGGAAATGCTTGTGAATGACAAGCACATGACCTTAAATGCAGCTACTGAGAAGGTCTAAAAATTTCATCATAGGGAGAATTACGTTTTTGTAACGACCGAGCCTCGCAGGCCCGACGCGCGTTCTCGTGGGTTAAAACATGATAATTTTCAAATTGTTTACACTACCTTACAGTTGTGAGGTTAAGTACAGCACATTCACCACACAGTGTAGATATTTCATGAGAAATGCCAGACATGATTCATGAAGATGTGTGAATGACATTTCTCAAACTCTTTTCCAAATGAGGACCACTTTTATAAATTAGAATGCTGTGCAGACAACCTTATTTTATCTTAACTCTAGATGCATTTACTTCTTTAAAAAATATGAGAAGGGGGTTCCATCGATTAAAAACTCTGGATAAAGATTTCTTTAAAGATAGCCAGTGTGTACATACATGTTTCAAAATTTTTCTTAGTCCAAAATTTTCCTTAGTTTCTTCATGTTTCAAAATCTTTTCAACAACTGGATACAGTATTATACAGCTGTTGGAATTGTTTCAATTGTTGGTAAAGAAGCTGCCCCTTTTTCAACAAATGAATTTAAGAGGTGTACCTCATAATCTGAAAATTTGAATTTTCTTTTTTTAAGATGCCTGCAACACCAGGTCTTCCAACCTACCATTACTGGTGCATTATCAGTATCAAGTGCTAAGCAATATCCAGAGGAATTGTATTTTCTTTTAAAGTTTTAATAATTAGCTGTGCTACATTAAAGCCTAACGAAAGTGCTTCTAAAGTGGAGACAGAATGTAAACTACATTCATTTTCTGAAGACATTGAATTAGGAAAAGAAACAATGGCTGATCTTTAGAATATGGTAACTGGTAGTTTGGCGACATTTTGGAGGCGATAAAGGTTACTACCTGGGACTTTGGTAATAATGTGAGCAGTTAATAAAGGAATTTACTTTCCATTTTTAACAAAAATATGTCACTGTTTTTTCATTATTAAAAATATGCAATAAAACGTTAAAACAAACAAACAAAAAAAACATTATAGCTACCCTTTTTTCATTAAATTGTAGTAAATAGGTGATTCTAAAAGCTTTTGCATTATTTAATATCTATACTTCACTATAATTATAGTATAGATAGCTTTTTGTTATTATTATTCGAATAATAATAATAATAAAACATTCTTGCAGTAATTTGAAATGACTATAATATTATATTTATTATCATATATTTCTTACCCTTTCACCATTAATGGAAAATTTATTTTTCCGGTTAATAAAGACAAAACAAAAATTAATATCACACACACCACACTCTCAACATCTGCGGTTTTCATTTGAATGTAACCCAAATAATTCTTGGTAAGCTAGGTAGAATCACATTTGTGATTGCACTCCAGTTCTTTTACAGCTGGTCGAGAGAATTAACATCTACTGTATGTGGAAATAGCGAACAAAACAGTAAGAAATTGAAACAATTACCTGTGGACAACTTGTATTCATAGCATTCTAAAATGAGCTTTTGGTAAAATTTGACGGCAAGTAAAACAGTAGTAATGAACAAATGTTTTTTCACGAAGTGGGTCCAATACTTTCACAGCAGGGCTATTTCATGTATTCTGCAGAGAGACTGATGTACGGTTTGTTGTAACTGCTGTATACAAATGTCTGGCTCAGAATTCCACAGCAGCAATTGGCACAACTTTCATGGTTGATGGTATAATATGGAGGTACCAAAAATTAGTATTATCACAGTAACTTCAAGTAGCTTATATTTCTAAAACTCAGTTAACACATTTCATGCAGAAAGAAAATATTATCCAGTTGCATACTTAAATCAAGGTCACTGAAATGTGGTAAAAGCAATCTGCTTAAGAAAACAGATGCCTCTGTAGAGGATGTTGATGACCCAGTTTTCCTTCCTACGGAAAACTGGCTTTCATTCCCATTATACATGGGCAAAACCAATGTCGTGTAATATAATAATCTATTAGTACAGTAAATACATTTAATTTCTTTGCATTTATTTATGTCATGCTGCTTTTCGTGTAATTTAGTATGATAAACTTATAAGTTTATTTAATTCTGATCATGGTCTATGGAAGTAAGTCACCTGTTGCAAGAATATCAAGTTATTAATATTTATGTGAAAGTCTGCAATAACTTTTCATATCATAAGAGATTTACGAATGTGCATATAACTTACATGTGTAGTTATTATGCAAGATCTATAGAAAGTATCCAAAATTACCATGACATTAATTACACTGTACGAACAGGCAAGACATTAAACATTAGGAGAAAATTAACTAATATTTTGGGAGATGAAATACTATTTTACACATGGGAACTGTTTAAAAACAGCTGAGAAAAATTCATGCTTTTTCCCCTACAGTTACAGAATATATATATATATTGTTTCATAAGAATAAAAAGTAAAGTTAAATTTAAATAATTCTCATGCGCCATTGCTGCAAAGAATTAAATTTGAATTTAACAAATATTCTCTCTTCATATAAAGTTAAGGCTGATCTTTAGAATATGGTAACTGGTAGTTTGGCAACATTTTGGAGGCGATAAAGGTTACTACCTGGCACTTTGGTAATAATGTGAGCAGTACTCAGTTCCGATTACGCATTATTTTGTGTGAGGGAAATGAGAGATCATGGGATATGTCATGTG